AGCAAAGTTTGAGAACAGACTTTTTTCGTTATTTAGTTCTATACATATATTGTTTTAATGTATCAAGGAACGCGGACAATACACACGGTGTTAATCGTGTTAATAATAATGATAATGTATTTACTCTTTCTTCCTTTTTATATGAGTAGGTAGCGAAGAAAGAATAATTACTTTATCATTCTATTACAAATTAACTATTCTTCACTTAAAACGGAATTCGCGTCTGTCGTTTATCGCAGATGTGGGATATTCCTTACCGCGGTTGATTTGAATAATTATTTAAAGGTTTCCTTAATATGATCTACGTGTTCATTATTTAATTTTTTTTATTTTAATTTTTCGGGATGTAGATATTATATCCGGGTCTTGGAAATTCCATATAGTTGATCTTGGAAATATGTCTGTACCACAGCATAGTTAAATATTGAATATTTAGCCTAGAAAAGAACTGGTAAATTATACTATAGAACTTATTACAAGTTCCACCTCCAAATTGCATTAAAGCAAGTGATCCTGAGGTAAAAACGGTATAAAAATTAAGTAGAACTGCAAAAAAGGAAAAATTCCAACCTTTGAGAAATAAAAATGATCTAATGATATGATATCATGATGAGATATAAACAAACTTGTTTGCTGAAACGTAATTATTTTAATTTTTTTGATAGAGGCCAAATAGACCGAGAAAAATTTGTAACACTTTAAAACTATTAAAAATGTAATCAAAAATTATTATGTTGTCTTTTGTATAGAAGCTCGTGTAGAAGGTTGCTACTTGGTAGGGTAATGAAATTATCAAAAGTAGCAGGAAAGAGCAACCAGCTGAAGTTCTTAAAAGCAAGGAAAAGAGAGTTTTATCTAGGCTTATCTCTCTGAATAGATTCTACAGCTTCCATGGTGGCTTTTTGTCTCTGAGCTGGTTACACGCATCCAACTTGAGAGGAGGAAATTACACGTATTGCCGACCCCAAATTCAAATTTGTTTAAATTGTACAAAATAAGAGATACCATCGGCATCGTTGTGAACGAGATAACTTAGGTTCGAAAATAAAATATTACCTACTATTAAGAGAATCGGTTCCAAATGATGAAGTGACCTTGTTTGTGGCGATTTGCGATTTCGATCGGATTAGATGCGATCGTTGTTTTGTCCGACATTGGTTTCCGTCGGTGTAAACTGGGTCAACGCTGGCATCCCACACGCTGGAAATCACGTTTAAACCCACCAAATATTCTGGTCGTAATAGGGTTTCCCCACTATTACAGCGAATCATTATTCATGTTGTTTATCGAACACACTTATGCACGTAAATATCCATGCATACATTTTTACGCAAAATCGAGCTGGATTTTATGTATGCAACAATTTTATCGCGCTTTATTTAACGGCTATATGGCGATAAGCTGGGAACCTTTGCACATATATGGTATTTTCGCAGTCATCGTAGAAGTTTTTTTGACTAGCTCCTCCAATTGCACATGACATTTGCCCTTTGGCCACTTCAGTTACCTCATATTGTATTACGGCCAATCAATTTTCAGATCGCGTACCGTCTGTGACTTAAATGTGTTTAACACACACAATATTCGCAACGATTGTCCTGACATCAAAGCAAAAATTGGCGAATCTATGTTCATTCTTAGAGTTGTGAAACCACAAAGTCCATGGGTTACTCTTATGAAATAGCTATCACGGATTACCAATAATATGTAGGTGAAACCCGTACTAGCTTTGATTTTGCAATATACAAATTTAATACGCTTTTATTGTCTTCAGAATTTTCCCCTTTGCTTGAACAGGGAACATATTAATTAAACAACAAATTAATAAAACCTGATTTTACATGCAAAAGAACAAATATACGAATTCAAATTTTTTATGCAAAGTTGTTTTTTTTTGTGAAATGCAGCTGGGACTACGCGATTTTAAGGCAATTTAGGTAGTTTGCCCATTATTACCCATTCAAAATAATTAGCCATAAGTATGAGACAGGCGTGCGTATGAGAGTAAAAAGAAATTAAATTAAATTTTATTTTAGCAAGTAAATTAATATTTCTGGATTATAAATATTATACATGTAACGGGCAAGATCTTCTGCTTTCTCTTTTATATATAGCCCATAATAAAGACTTTAGGTACCTGTCAAAATATGTTCAGACACCTTGTATAATTTAAAATAATATACCTAATATACAATTTACAACAGATGAATAAAATGTCATATTCTCCGTCATCTGAAGATTTGTCTTCTGCTCCGGTTATTATTATTAACTACCTCTCGATTAACGACGTTATTAAGATCTCAAATTCTTTTCTTCTTTGATAACGTGATGGACATTTTTTTTAATTGGTAAGACCAGGATAGTAATGTTTTGTTTTTGCACTATATTTCAAAAAACTGTATATTCACTAAAATAAACCGTTATTTATATATAATGTCGCTTTAAATCAGTCTATAGATGACCCTTAAGATTAGTGATAACACAGGAACTTACTAAGCAACTACGAAAAAATTTTTAGCAGGCCCATTCAATATGAGCATGCACGAGATTTAAAATCTCGTTTCAGGCAAAACGGAGTTATGTATTATCGCCGTTTAGAAAGAAAATGGCGCAAAGTGCAGGTCAGTGGGTGAAATTTAGAGGCATGCGCGGAAGATCATTTCCATCTCTATAAAAATACCATTAACACCTCAGGCGCATCAATTTTTACCGTAGCAGGGCCACTATATTATTTAATAGCTAATAATTAATTAATTAATTAATTATTAGCTAAATTTAAAGATATAGTACATCTTACAAACTACAAACTATATATTACTCAGAAAGCAGATAATCTAGTGTTATTATTATGGTGTGGATGATATAAACTGATATAAAATCCTATAAATTAACAAAACGGACTATAGTTAGGGAAAGGCGCGTCTAGAACATTGTATTACTTTTGGTTAGTTGTGTATGTATTATATAATAATAATAATAAAGACTTTGTTTGAACAATATGATATGACAAAGTTATTACAAAGAAATAATTTCATTTTCCTGTCCAAGTCTGGCGCAAGTCAAGCCTTGGGCTACTCTACTGAACCAAACAAAGACAAACAGTTTAACGATACTATGTTAATTCTATAAAAAAATTACCTATAGAAATTACTGTAATTATATCCATGGAAATAAGTTACAGAAAAAACAAATTATATACATTTAAGTAAGTTTTGGAGGAGAATTAATTGGTTTTATAACATTTTGGAACAATAATATAGGTACTATATTACAAATTTTAACTTAAGCCCGTTAATAGAGAGTTAGAAAATATCTTTTATATTTTATTTTGAAATTATGTAATGACATGTCAAAAAAGTGATTGGAAATTAAGTTGAAATACTTTACGGCGTTGTATGAAAATGAGCTCTGAAAGAATGCAGTGTTATGATGTGGCACCGTTAGTTTGGCATTATTTCTATCTATTGTGGACAGTGTTACGAAATATTAAGCGATTTCTTATGGAAACTGGCGACTTAGGAGTATTTATTACTTTAAATAAAAATGTCGAGAAGTGTAGGATTCTTCGCTCATTCATTTTGAGCCATTTTATATCATAAATAAGTGTGATACATGATTAAATTTCCTCACACCATAGATAAACCTAATACATTTATTCTGTACTATCTGAACATGCTCCCTACTTTCCCGATGCAAACAAAGACAAAGTCACAATAATTGAAGTTAGAGAGGACCAGAGATTCATACAGACTTCGTTTCAGTTTTTTACTTAAAATGTGTCTATTATTATATAAAAATTTCATGGAGACAAAGGATTTTTTAAACATTTTTTTAGGTGTTCTTTGAATGTGAATTTTTAAAATTTAATTTTGAGTTGCTTATCACGAATTTTTGAGTTTTCGAATACAAATATATCAATTAACGCATAGTTTTATCTCAGCAAGGTGTAGTAGTAGTGGGTATTGAGAAGTAAATATGCAAATGTTTTGGAACAGTGGCTATACAACGTCTAAAACATGCCGTAATTATATTTAGATGTATCCAATTCGCAACGAATAAAGAGCAATGAATGAATTTTTCACATGATAGAAGGAACTTTTGAATGGTGAAACGGAAATTAGTAAATTTCATCAATTGCTATTTTGTCTGAGAGATATCTATCTATACATAATTTTTCTGTTCATAGAGTGGTAAATTTGAAACAATCTATTAGTTACAAGACTATGATTGCACAGTAACCGGCAGTATGAATCAGCTTAACACAATGCAACGAGTTATCGGCTTAGCAAACAAAATGCTTTAGTCGACCAAATTTGCTCACAACGCTCATTCAATGTTAATTATTTTGGCAAGTTTCCTCAAAAGATTGGGAATTACACTATAAGTAAGTATATCCAAAAATCCCCAGACTATATATATATATATATCAGGTTCACGATTTCCAAATATTTATTTAATTTAGGCGGCTTTTATTTTTAGAAAATCCCGCTAGAATCACATTTATAATATACCTGGTCTATGTATTTATATTTCCTTATTGCTATTGAATTTCATATTAAAAAATAAATAACATAAATTTTATGCGTAGTATTGGAGTAAATTTAAAAACAAATGCCTAAATTTGTTTTTAACCATCAGAGCTCCTCCTTTTTATGGCATACATACATGAATAAAATGATTATTTATAGAAAGTCGTAAGAAAAAGCGGATAGATTTAAACAAGTCGTATAAACTTTAATCAATCAACAATCAATTGTTTTGCAGGTACGAAGTTAACGTACTTATATTTAAGATGTGGTCGTTCTGATTTTTTAATGATTTATAATGATTATTAGAAAAATAAAGGCAGTGAAATTTCTTCAAGGCACTAGTCACCTATTTGAAAATCCTTAATTTCAAAACAACTGTACGTCTAACCTCTTTAACCCGAAAAGCAATAATTACCATCGTTATCAGACCGTTTCTTAAACTAATGAAATTTGGTGATTCAACAAACCTTTATGTATCCACTGGAGCACAATATTAAATTTGTACACTTACTGATGACACTTTGTTAGTTACTTGGTTAACTAGCAATTGTATTTTTCATAACGTCGACACGGTGTTGCCTACTACACAAAGAATTACCATTAACTGAGGATCCTGAGAAAACTGAAACAGGTTTATATGAATTCGATGACGAGCAACCAAAACACACTACTAACTGTACAGCAGCGGGGTCAGTGGCGTAACGCTAAGAGTCCAATAGCGTAAATAATAACAAGCTATAAATCTAGGACTTACTTTACTCTACTTACCATTTTGCCAGAGGTACGTTACATTTATTTTTGGGCGGATTGTTTCCAGTGACAGATTCTCGCAGCTGTAATAAGCTTTCAGTGGTTTCATCCGTTCTTGTGTAATTTCATTCTCTGCTTTTTGGTGATTTCGAACAAAATTTAGTACTGAGAAATTTCAATTTTTTTTTCGTGATCTGTTTTTGCTCTACTTGAACTTTCCGCACTTTTTCATTTCTTGTTTAATGCCAGTAAAGTGATGCAACAAAATAATTTTGCTCATAGTCTCATGCATAGTCTTGCTTTTGCATCTTGTATTCGGTTAGTTTTGTAACCCACTGTAATATTTTTCGCATCTGACAACAAAATAGAATAAAATAACTATAACAAAACAGAACAGCACATATGAAGTTTTTCGGTTATTAACTAAAAATTTAATATCACAATTTGAGAATTAGCTTCCTAAAAATTTAATGAAATATTAAACAACAATTATTTTTACGGTGAATTGGTTATCTTAAACAGCATAATGACTACGCTCATGGTTAACGCTTAATTAGGGTTTACAGTGGTAAAATCCCGAATTTGTTCATCGTTTTCATTCTGTCTAGGTATATCTGCGTTATTGCTGATGGTGGTGATGGAGTGATTAAATTAATAAACAAAAAACAAAACAACTTTCTAAAATTTTTTTTTAGCTGTTTGTCGCTCGCTAATTATAAATAATTCAAGTATTGTTTACTAGATAATTATAAAATAGGGGGATCCAAAATACCAGAAAAATTAGAACCTACAAAGTGGAATATGGAACCATTACAGATTCTAAATCGTGTTATATAAAAGGACATCTCGGAAGGGTACTAGATTTGTTCTAACCCCCTACGAAACATCCCAAGGTATCCTATTTTCTACAGTTATATTTAAATATACTAGGATGCGGTTTTAGCATTAGTGTAGTACTTTCTCATTCTTGTTTAATGACTTTTGTAAATGTTGCATATTAAAGTAGGTGCCTCCTGTATATTTTATATTTAGTAAATTATCGAAAAGCCAATAACTTTTCCTAAGATTTAAATATACTGCCGCTCTCAGTACGGAGTCAAGCAAAGAGTTATCGGAAACTACTTTTTTTTAATGAAACACCCTGTTTATGATTTGTTATTTCTTTATGAAATTATGTGACTTTTTTAAAAGGGCTCTCCCAAAATGTTATCATTTTCAATAATTTACTTCTATGCTTCTGTTCTATTAAAAACAATAAAGCAAATATCAAAAACTTGGCGAGGTTTACAATTTTTTATTATTTGGAAAATCTTTGTGCATGCATAATCATTATGGTGAGTTTTGGTGGTTTTTGCAATTGAGATTGTTTTTGCTCAAAATTTAATATTTTTAAAAATTATTTATTTTCTTTCTTTGAAATAGGCCCAGCCGATTTAAGTAAAAAAATGAATCTAAATCAAATAAGTAATGATTGAATAAAACTAATATTAGAAAAATACAGCAATTTAAAAGAACCAAGAATTTTGAAATATAATTTTCAAATTGAATTTCCACTTTACAGAATGCAATAACAAAAATAACAATAATGTTCATATATGCAACATCAACATCAATCATATATGCAACATTTGTATAATTTTTTTTTTACAGCAAAATACATTCTTTTGAAAACTTTGGCATTATGAAGTTTTGCTACAGATTCTTATCGTGTATATCGGATTTTGGATAAAACTTGAAAAAATTTGCAATAATTTACAACCAACCAAACCAATTCAGGTTCCATCGGTTGATTGCTGCAACATGTGTATATATTAGACGCAATTAAATAAAATATTTTAATAAATTTAATAAGAAAATAAGTATGCAATTGTGCACATTAACAGCATATATTATTTTTTTACCTTTTAGTATTTAGAAACAACCTCAAACAAGAAATAAATTTAAATTTTAAACAGTGTCGTAAATCACTTCGGGTGTTTTCGGTACTTTAGTCACGTGTTTGGGGTGATCCAATGTTTTCTGTAGATTTTAGACCCTGGTGGATTTTTGATATTTGTCGCACGCGTCACTCAGTGAATGAATTCGTGCTGTTTTGGAAAGATATACCCAAAAACTAATAATAGCAGAAAAATGTAGTATGCAACACGTTCATAAAGTTCTTCAGACGGTGGTTTATTAAACTGATGCATGCGCAAGACTGGCAAACAAAAAACTGTATGAAGCCATATAAAATTTTGATATTGGTTAATGCAAATCTACAAAAATGAATCTAGTGGTATATATTTTTTAATATTTTAATTTTACCAACTTTAACTTAATCATACTCGCAATTCACCAATATTTTTCAAATAATTATCTTTCAACTCCCAACACCTGGTAATTAAAAACGTGTGATTTCGAAGTTAATCTAGAGCACATAGCAGAATGTGTGTAACGTCCGGGAACATTCCAATTACTTGTTGGGAATCAGAAGGCATTACCCTGTTTCCTTAATGCACGGACTCGAGACGATGTAACGTTTCTACAAAACGACTTTTGAATTACGGTTTTACCACAAATTCGATCAATTAATGATTTATCCTAGCTACTAGGTGATTGAAGATACCTGCAACATGAATCCTGCTTCCCTAAGTCTGATCGTTTTAGTGACCCAGAAAAAGTAATGGTAAATCCTCATTTAACTCATTAGCGGCTACGATATGTTTTGAAATATGAAGTAAAAAAGTGCATAAATGCTTGCTGGTGATGCTAAGTAAAACGAAATATGCGATTCTAAATTTTGCGAGTGTTTCCGTGGACAAGAAACAAACTTTAGGAATGCAATGTGAAAGGTCATAAATAAATGTTCCAATAGTCATGATCTATGCTATAATATCAACAAGCGAGCCATTAAAAAGCTATGCCCGAGATTTTCTTTACTTCAGCTTTAATTTTAGCCACTTCTTTATATATTTTATTTAAAAAAAATATGGACTAATAGCGATGTAGAAACTGGAATGTGTTTCTTTTTTCCTTCAACATTTGCTTGTTACATGCTTTATAATTATAACAAATTATATGCTATATTTGGAAATATATAGAAAAATCAGAGATATTACTACCTGAATTTGACGATACCTTCCTGTCTATAGCTAAGGAAACCATAGTTACGATAAACCTATTTAATATACAGGGTTATTCGCGGAGAATGTCTCATTAGACCGTCTAAAACCCAACAATATATTTTTGGCTTTGCAGTTTTCCCAGATCTATTTGTAACTTATATCAACTTTCTTTTTTTAAGCGGTGCACACATTTTACGTTTTTAATTTTTTAAGTTGTTTTATGTAAATTGGGTAACAAGAAAAACTTTTTTAGACCCGGTACAGCTGAAAAATGGATCTACTTCCAGATTTTATATAGAACCTCATATTTTTAAACAGACGCGTAAAAGGGCAATTAATTTCCCTCACCAATCCTGAACCTGCAGAAGCCTCACCAAAACATGGAAAAATGAAAATATAGCTATAGTTATAATTAGCACAATCCCGCATAAAAGTTCGGCTAATTGTTATATCAGTGAACTTGTGGAAGATAAGAAAAATAAACAAATCCAGCTTAAGAGAATGGTTTAACGGTTTTACTAATTTACTAAGCTATATATATAGTAATTTAAATTTTAATACAATTTAAATGAAAGAGTTTTTCTTAAAAATCGTATACCATGTTTTTGCGAATAGAATAGTTGTTGGCGCCCATGCAAGGATTAGCCAGTATAATCGCGATGACTTTTAAATTAAAACGACTACGACTGGTCAAGCAGGTATTTTTTATCAAATTCGACCCGACGTGTATGTGAAACGACCAGACTCATTTACGATTATTACTACTTTTTAGGATTTTCCAACATTCATTCATTGATGTATTTATACTACAAAAAACAGTCCGGTGGAAAGCCCGAGTTTCTGTCAGTGGTGTGTCCGAAGTACTTAATGTGGTTTTTGTAATTTTATTTTTATTCGTTTTTGATTTGGCGTTAACTCATATATCAGTCACTTGTATGTGAAATATAAATACAATGTTGCATATATCATTGAGGTTAATTATAGTGTTTTTTCTGATCTTAAAAAATATGGGTATTTCAGATATTACTTAACTAAATAATAATAAACTAACTTAGGGGAGCATAAAACTGTCAACTATTGATTGGTCAGCTGCCCTATCTTTTTTTCCATATTTAGAAATTAATTTCCATATGAAAAAAAAAAAACGATTTTTTGCAATTATATTTTTAATGTTACCGTGAATTTATTTTTAAAATTTCAACACTGAGTACTAAGGTAGATCCCTTTCATAGGGAACTTAACCCCAAATAAGACTTTCAGTCGCATAAATAAATAAATTCAATATATGTTAGAAACGGACCTAGGTATAGGATATTATATGTGATGATATACGTAATATCTTTAAAGTGACGTCATTGTGTACAGTTAGCTAATATTAGACCTTGATCGTGATCAACATCGTCAGTTCAGAGTCCGGAGTTCCAAATATTAAGTACACCGAGTCATGTTCAGATTAACGTTGAGGGTTATTCAGGCATACAAGAGGACAATAATTCTTCATATTTAAGTTCATAGGCACGCTTTAATCAGGCATGTGAAAAGTGGCACTTTGAGACGTCTGTTTCATTTTTCACGGTCGCGAAACACCCCCGATTTGCCGGGTACATGAGTCACGGATTTTTCTACAGAAAAACGAGAGAAAGTATAGTTTCCAACAATTTGATAATGTTCTTTAACAACTCCCCAAAATGTCGTTTGTTGCATAATATACTCTTTGGGAGGAACATAAGAAATTATTAATACTAAATAAATGCTTCAATAGAAAACTAGTTTATTACAAAATATGCTTTCAACATTGACACACATAATGTACATTGATATAAAAATGGCACCGTTGAATTCAGTTCTAAAATGCACAATATTTACATAAAACAATAAATCGTATTTTATAATTTGTACAAGTTACAAAATATGGCACTTATATTCATACACTTTTATTAGTAGTGTAGTAGCTATAATTTTAAAGGAATTGGTATACAACAATAAATAACATACCTATTTTTATCAAATAGAAAATAGATGCAGGTGGGTATGCAACCTGATTCTTTCCTAAAAATCGAATTACCTTGAATTCTATAGTATACCTTGGCAAATATTTTAATAAAAATTAAAAAAAGCAGAATACGGTATTCGGTAAAGATGGTCGTAAACTGTTAAGTTCACAATGTCGCAGCTTTGAAGTAATGAAGCTTTGCATTTTTTATGTGAATGCTATATTATTTTTACAAACTTAATAAGAGAAGGCAATGTACAAAGTTTTATTAATTCTAAGTTTGAAAAGTGGAGCCCGAAACACATTATTATTACTAGCATATAAGGTCACGCACTGCTAGCAAAATTTAGTCGAAATACCTCAGAGTGCCACTCGTACAATATATCATAAAATATTGTTCTCCATCTTTATAATTATTGCAATTTGTTTCATGGGTATTTTTTCTACAAGATTTTCCACTAATAAAAACAAAGTTCTAGTCGCCAATTTTTGCAAAATAATTGTAGCAAGTTACTAAATGCCACTAACCGAAAAATAACACCTCTCTTTGTGATTTTGTTTGAGTTTGTTAATATTAATTTTCTAACCCCAATTTCAAATTAGTCGCTACCAACATAAATTTTCAGAAAAAATTATGCAAATATTAGTCGCTGCAGATTCGCGCTTGAAATTAGAACAGGTTATAATTGATGCATCTTGGTTGCATGCGATTAATTGGTCCGTGAGAATGCGTCAACGGCATGAATCTTTGTGATCGTGAAAATCGGAATTATGTGATGTCATAACAATTTGTTTCCGGCTTTAATAGCATATTGGAAACAAAACGAAATTGTCCGTAAGCACGGTTTTTTTGACATACAAGATGGCTTGAAGTTGAAAACTGTTAAATTAAAGAAAACTTTGTAGCTGCAAAAATCACTTTTGTGAGTAACTTTCTAAAATAGCTATTTGTGTAGCTAGTTGAAAAAAATATAATTATTGTAGTAGTATAAATATTTTTTCCAAAGCACACAATATTTATTCTAATTTTGATGTGGTTCAATTTTTTAATTATTCAAGTCAAAAATATAAAATATGTGTCTCGTATAATTATTTTATCTAAATTTAGTTGTTTTTTAGTTGCTCTAATTTACCCTATGACATCAGCGAGCTTTGAAAAGTTGTCACTCTAAAAGTCAAAATTAGAAAAATAGTGTAGTGATATTCATTTTTTTATTGCTACGAAAGCGAAGATAAATAGTATCCTATTATTAAGGTAAGCACTCTATAAACCATAGGCCACTACTTTTATTTACCAAATGCCCGGCCAACTTAAAACTACCATGTCAACTATTTTGTACACAATTTGATTTAAAACTGCTCAGCTTATAATAAATATTTGTACCTAATATATGGAACAAATATGTGTTCCCATATTTCACGAAATTGCTTATAACTTTTTACATTGTGGCGTCAATTACCTATTTTTTATAACTGTTTATAACGGTTTGTTCTTCAATGAACAACTAGAAAAACGTTGGAACCTAGTTTATCAATTTCATATATATATGCAACAAAAACCATTCAGTTGCAATCTGCCCATGAAGTTAGAAATGCAGAGTTTTCAATCAAAGTTTATCTATCGACAGATTTTACAAAATTTCCTTTATTTCCACCATGCTGAATCCGTCCCATTTTAAAATATTATTTTATTAAAACTGGCGTAGACACTGGAAGGTATTTATTTAATTAAACCCTCTTGGGTTTTTTTCGCGAACAAAATATATTTGGCATATTTTTCAATACTTAATCATTTTCGAAAAGACTTGCTTACACTTGAAGGTCGTTGTCAAACCTGACATGAATCCTTATTGAGTTATAGAGCAAATGTATTAAGCAAAAGGTGTAATTTTATTTTGATTAACTTTCAGTAGTATACGAATGTCGACAAAGGAGGCAAAAATTTTCCTCGAAAACGCTTTGGAAGCAAGAGATGTGAGAAGGATACCTTTTTTTTACAAGATATGACATTGATGTAGAAGTTAAGGCACAAATTAATTAAATAAATATCTACCTACCTATTTGAAAATTGGACAAATTCTACCCTGTGTCCAATTAATAGAAGTACACAGTCCACTGTATTTCAGAAGCTAATTTAAATATAGCTAACAATCAAATTATATGTATTAGATAGGCATTAACATATGTTAACATCGATTGCACTATTTTAGTAGCGTTAAATAGCTTGCTTGTTTAAACATTACCAAAAAGTTTCCTTCTTAGTAATTATAGAGAATCAAAAAAATCGTGCTTCTACGCTGCCATAACATGTTTGTTATGCCAATACTAGAACCGTAGTTGATCCCATAGTGGGAAATAAAGAATATTTGTTGTGGGCGAAGAGACTGAGAACGTGATCTAATGAAACCACTGATCAGTTTAAGAATAAACCCTTACATTCAATGATATGGCGTGAAATTCAGCAATCTATGACAATAAAAATTGATTATAGACTTATTTGACTTTGTACATGCTCTAGCTTTTCTGAAAGGATTACTGTAATCGGAGGGCAGTGAAGCGTATTTTGATACATCCATATTTACAGGAAACATGACAAAGTGATATGGAAATATGGTACGGTTATTTTACTATGTCTTTAAAACACATACTGGATTGATCATGGTTTCGTTTTGTAGACAATTATCGAAGTGAAAAAAATATTAGGGAAAAAACGAAGAGAGTTTCAACAATACTTAAATATTTTAAAACCAAGAGATTATTGAAAATTTATATAATAAAGGTTTGGAACATTTGTTAGTAATATTTTATCAGATCAATAAATAGAACTTGCTCATTTGAACTTATTTCCTTGGGCTTAAATAACTATAAATATGGTTTTCAATACTCTCGAGGCTAGTATAGACAAGCCAAACAATCAAAATAGAGTACGAATAAAAAAAAATGTTTTCTCAACGAAACTGTTTACTTGTGACATTTATATTTGTGTTTTCAAGTTCACACCAGTATACGCTTCTGAAATACAGATAGTTGCCCCTCCTAATCGATTACCGTCTTTTCTTATTAAATTTCCTACAACATCTTACATTTCTTACTACGTGGAATGGGAATTGACGTAATAATACCTATTAATAAGTTTTGCTAATTCAGAAAAGGGGGAAGGGCGACGTAAGTCTGATTACCATTTCCATTTTCAGGTTTAATATCTTTAAGCCGTCCATCGTCGTACGTTTGGTCGTACTTTGGTGATACACTTCCATACCGTTCAGGCGATTGGTTCAAATTATGGTCTACGTATTCGATTTTAACTCCGATGGAATTCTCGTCTCCGACTGCACTAGGCGAATGTGTCTGGAGCATGGAATACTCGCGGCCTAGTGGCGGACTTTGATTGGACGGGGGTGTGGAGTAATCGTGCCTCATGGGCGCACTAAAAAGTTGGTTGTCGTGGGAGTTAAGCATGTAAGAGTAGGACGTTTGGTTGGACCCGAAGCTATTGTAAGACGCGGGTGATCCGAAGGTCGAATACGACCCTGGAGCGCTATTAAGTAAATTTAGATGGCCTCCAATATCGTACGTTGATTGGCCATAAGACCACGAATCGACGGCAGTATTTGGTTGGGCCTGAGTAAACGGAATGTTTTGGTTAAAGTTCGTAGTGATACTTGAGCTGGGTGAAGACGAACTGATGTAACCCGTTTTGCGCGGCGGTTCTCGTTTGCGCCATTTTGCTCGCCTGTTCTGGAACCATACTTGTACTCTAGACTCGCTTAGGTTCAGCTTAAGGGCCAACTCTTCCCTGGCAAACACATCTGGATAAGGAGCGCGTTCGAAAGCCCGCTCCAGTTCCTCCAGTTGAAATGCGGTAAAAGTGGTTCTGAAACAATTTTAATAGACTAATTTATTGGTATTTGGTAATACGTTTTAGAATATTATTGTTTTGTGAAAATTATAAGAACTTGATATAAATTGATGTAGCAAGTTAACACATAAGCAATAGCGCTTAATTTTTAAGGTTTAAGTTGTAACTAAGAAAAATTGCAATATAAAAGGTAAAAAATAGTGTGCTTTTAAGCCTCTCTCTACAATTAAACGTGTGGTGTTTATTTACACAAACTGGGAACAATTTTTCTTGGTAGCGGCGAACTGCATTTGACTCTATTTTCTGTTCTTATTGTTTATGGGCAGTGAAATCGTTACAAAATACATTGTACTTTGCTGGATTCCTCCTGCGTCAGTTTTTGTTGAGTCGAACTTGCTAGTAGCCTGTGGAAGTTTCTTTCAAAAGAAAAACGTTGTGTTCTTAAATGCAAAGTGGTTGAAAAAGACAAATTATTCAGTTGTAGGTCTTGCGACTAGTGTAATAAAGATGTTATGTACCCAGCATCAAAACTCGATATTGAGGAGGAGGTATAATATTTAGATTTACCCAGTAGATTCGATGGATCGAAGATATGCTATTATTATTATTTCTTAAAAATCCTGTAGACTTCATTTTACATATTTTATAAGACATCTTATACACGGGTATCGATATCTTGATGCCGCTAAAGAAGTATTCCATTAGATAGCGCAGCTGTGGTAAACAATATATTGGAAAAACATTTTTTTCTAGTCCCGTCTGTAAAATATCTGATTACGCACCAATCTAGCGTGCGGGAAGGGTTGCTTTACCACGTCAGTTTCGTTTCGCACGAATCCGAGCCACTTCGGACATTTCCGGGATTTTACTGCACGGGTTTGGGAGCAATCGGATGTTTTCGGAGATATTTCCCACGCTTTGAATTTTGATGTGTGTCAATTCTGACAGACGTGTTAGTGAATGTATTCTTGTTTTGCTAAAATGTACCCAAAAACTAACGGTCGTAGAAAAAGTTCGGTAAACTTTTTAAGTCACTCGTTTATTAAACATTCGCCCCACTGCCCGCCGTTCGTGTCAAATAAACTCGTGAGTCAAATGCAACCAATTTGGTTGGTTTGGTTTTGGTCCCAACAGTTGCTGAAACAGTTTCTTAACCTTTCAATTTTATCAGTATCTCAATGTCGCTCTTAATAACTTCTACTCGCCTTTTTGCGTTTCAATGTGTTTTATCGGTGCTGAATCTAGTCGTTCTTTTTGTTACGAATTTTTGCCAGGTATGTAAAAATCGATTTTTTCTATCTATCTATCTACCTGGTTAAAATTGATATTTAATTTAATTGCATTACGATAAATTGCGACGACCTTTCCTAAAGTTTTTACTGCTGATGCAGAATTTTTGGAGTAAACCGCAGTTTTCACTTATAGGGCCGGGATAGAGGGTGACCTTTGGGCCCCAAATTTAAAACAACAACGGGCAGATGCGTGAAATACCGCCGCATTTTAAAAAGGTAGCACACGTTGCGGCACGCGGGCATATGTGAGGGCTTTCGTTATTGTCATGAGCTGAGTCAATTTACCGCAACTAATTTATACACAGTTTTCCTTATCTCTACACGACATCTGAAGGGCACTTAAACACGTCACAAATAGAGAACAAAAACCGCAATTTTGAAAAAAAAAAAACGCGTTGATTTTAAATAAGATATATTGGACTAATATGCCCGCATATGTATGCTAATATGAAAACGTATTTAACATTTGTGTTCTATTAGTCATCGTTTCTCGTTATTATTATTTGACGATCGCACAGTGTGCTCATTTTTGGATGCCTTTATCTCGTTTATTTTTTATGATGGAAAGTTTCGGTTTTCACGATACTGTACTACTGTTTTTTATAAAACTAGAGATGCCTCCAAAAAATTTTCGTTACCTTCTTGGTTTCCGAGATACCGAGTGAAATTGAAAACCTGAGTTTTTGGTACACCCGCTTTATCCTGTTTTACGTAGAATACGGTGGCGTAGTTAGTTTTCTCCTGATGTGTTCAATTTTTCCAAGTATTTTTAGCTTAATAAATTAAACTTTTTTGCTCTTATTTTCAAAAATAACGACATATTTAACATTTTTTTTGCACATCTTTATATAGTAGGAGTTACTATTTTTCCGAACCCAATGTTGGGACATTTTTGTTATGCGTTTAAATAGATTTAAAATAATTATTAACCGCTTTCGTCCCATAGAAAAAGTCTACGGCGGAAAAATTCTAGAAAACCATCTTATTAGGGCGTCATTAGCAGATTTTAAATAGATAAATGTTAAAAATAGTCACCGAAACCAAAATATTAAGCGTAATGTTCTGTAAATAATCTTTCGTAGATTCTATAGCACATGTTAATTTTTTGATTTTGATTTGCATGAACCATGTTTAATCTAAAATATTTTAAGTTAAGCCCAAGTATTTAAACAAATTGTGGTTAAATTGTCAAAAGCAGTCTGAATGACAGCTTGAAACAAGAGTCTTTTGTTTTACGGGCATTCTAGCAAAACTAGCAGCGTTATTGGATTCCACGACAAAATTTCTATATCAATGCGCTTTTCAATGAGTTAAAAGACAACGATGATACGTGTGGTGTCATTAAAGCTCAATATTTCAATTTCTCTCTACAGAGCGTTTAAATTTTATTTACAATAACCTATATATCTGGCGAGAATCTGTTTATAATTCACAAACTCCTTTTTATAAAACTGAAACAGTTTCAGTCAAGCTCTGAAGAAGCCAAGTGGATGATTGGCGAAACGTTAGCTAGTTCGACTCAACAAATCCGACGCGGGAGGAATCCAGAAGTTTTATAAAAAGTATTGCAGTAGGCTGTGGAAGTTTCTTTGAAAAATTCACAAACTCATTAATTAAAAATATATAATTAACTGAATAAGACGCCATTTTTGTTAATATAGAGAAAGTTGTTAATTCATTTAAATATGGGAAATGCTTGAATCAAGTATGCTTATAAATTATTATAATATATATGTTGATTATATTGTTTATTTACTTAGAAATATTTAATTTATTCTTAATCTCACGAAATTTAATTAAAATATATAAAAATAAAATTTTAAATTAGCTTAAATACAAAAGTTGTCTAAAACTCTAGATTACATATTCATTTGAGGAAGCTTAAAAATTATTTAATTCAATAGGTTGTTTCTGGTTCATTTTCCATTTTTTATGTTAAACAAATTAAAACAAAACCATGTTACTAATGATGACTTGATGATACTTGAAATGAAACCAAAAAGTCAAAATTAAAATAACAGTCAAATTCCATTACTTTTTGCGATTAACTTGTTAAATATTTTTATTAACACTAGCAGATCAAGTAATTTTGCACTGAGCAGGCGTGTGCAAAGTGTAACTTTAAAATATCTGCTGCGCGAGCTTTTTCGATATTTTGTCACGGGTTGGAAGCGATCGGATGTTTTGAGTAGATTTAAAGTACTAACTAAATTTTGATAGTTTTTAGTTTCGCTGGTTACTTCACACGTCACTCAGTGAGTGTGTTTGCTATTTTTCAGAAACGTGTCCAAAAATTAATAGTTGTAGATAATGTGTAGTAGGCAACATGTTTATAAATTTTTTCAGATACTCGTTTATCGAACACAATCCAGATTCGAATAAATTACAAGAGGCTAAATAATTTTAAATTTTCGAATCTACTACCTATTTATAGGAAAAAAGGCTTATTAACCTGAGTTAAAGCTAAAGTTACTCCTTTAGAAATATTTGAATTGGCAATGATAAAATTCAGGTGTTAGAGAAAATTTTAGTCTCTGTCTGTCCCCGATGCTTCAATTTCTGTGAAATTGTATATGAGTGGTAATTCTAGACGAGCACGAAAATTTTGCCCTTTCACCTGAGACTTATTTTGTTGTTGGTGGAGGAGCGTATTTTTAAAATATTTGTGAAATTGCAGCTACTCGCAGCTACAGATCCTCACTTTACTTTTTGAAATGGAATGCCCTGTCCGTTATTCTATGTTCAAACTTTAACAATGATTCATTCAAAATAGATTAATATTACAATCATTTTAGCTAAAAATCTACAAGTTTTACATCATTGTAAAAAGAGATATTCATTGCACAAGATATCGGTGGCCAAACTGCGCAAGAATTGTTAGAAATATATCGACTAAATGAAAATATCTCTCTAATATTTGGAGACGTTTGGAGCAGAAGGATTAAAAAAGAAATCAGCAGCTATGTGCTTTGCAATGCTGTAAATTTAACCATGGCTACCATTAACGCAATTTTGTATTCAAAACTAACCAAAATTAATCTATTGGAACAAATGGAAATTTCTGAAAATTTGCTTCATAATATTAATTTTGTTAAATTGTTTATTTTGTGTAAAAAAATGCTCTTGTGTTACAAGTGACACATATTGGTAACTTGCTCATTACAAGATCTTTTAGAATATCACCCAACCTAAATGTGATGATATAATGATATTGAGAAGAAAAACATGGTGTCAGGGGTAAAACCCAGAACAATTGGGAATTCAAATAAATAGAGAAATAGAAAATATCGTTCGGCACTCCTGAAGAAACGGCCCAGAAAAAAGATCACAATTTATATTAATCTTATAACTGTTAAAGGTTGTAACCGAATTGATTTTTAAGTGGTGTTAAAGTGTAATTGACTTTAATTATTATTTTAATTTTTATTATTTACTTTTATTATTTCATTTATTTTAAGAAAAAATCATAAAATTAAAACATTTAAGACAAAAAGTCTTTTGGAATTATCTATTTAATATCCGAAATCGCTTCAGTGGTACTAAACAAAACTTGCAGATCTGAATTGCAATGTTTTTCCAATGCAGATTGAGACTAACGAAAACTGAAACTAATAAAAAATAATATATTTTTTTTAATCTATTACATATGTGTAACTGTTAGTGTAATGACTATTATGAGTACAGAGAGGGATTCACACTATGGCACATTTTTGTCTTAACTAACCAAAAGTAATTTAAGAAGGCTAAGATATAAGTTTTTTAGGTTTATGAAATGCACATTTCAAGACTATATTAAGAATTGTGGATATATCGGAAGGTGACAATTCATGAATTAGCATTGATTTTCTGGGTTCCACTTAAAATGTTTGAGTTTTAGCTGCTATTTCGCCCTATTAGAAGTACATGGAATGGAAAAAGATAATCATTTTTGTTCTGACTGAATTTAAGCACAAGAAACTTAATTAAAATTGGACTGTAATTGTAACAGCCAACTTATTTGTCCATTTATCCATTTTATATGGTAAATACGCTGTATATGTAAAAATATTTGTCAAAACATGCAAAAATGATATCTACAGTTTGAAAACTATTTTCTATGGAATCACCAGAAACTGTCTAGACACTTCTAAGACAAATTGCCTCAAATCTCTACTAAGCTTTCGGTTTTTCAATAGTACTTAAACTGATATAACCAACCTTGTCTTCTTCTTTTTCACTCCGTTGGTCTCATTTTTCTTTTTCTCGTTCTTTTTCGACGTTGTCGACGTAGCGCTAGCCATTTCGGTTGAATTTAATGTTTGAGACTGCAGGAGTACCACGTCGTCCTTTTTCCGTTGCATCCCGTTACTGCTCCCAACGTTTTCAATCACCGGTTGGAACATTCCCAATTCCTCATGATGCATGGGAGAATTATCCAATTTCTGCGGCGACGATTTGCTGTATTCCAGCGGCGAGCCCATGCCACCAAACATTTCGTGCTGCTGTTGAAGCCCTAACATCACTTGTATCGAATGCACATCGTTGTTTTTGTTTAACAACGTTGAATTCAAACTCGGCAACGGTTGATTGTTGTAATCGTTAAAACTCTGATCATCGAACGGAGCACCTTCCATAATAATTAACGCAATCAAAACAATCAAGACCAATTTAGCCGACTTTGTCAATCAAACAATTTAGCCAAACTGTTACTCCTAAACTGACTTGTGACATTATTATTTTAGCCAATTTATATTTAACGAGCTGAATTGGAGTCCGGATACTCGAGGCATCCCATTGGACGCGCAGGGAGAATACGGCTGCCTTTATTGGTTGAGGACGTGTGGACAATTGATGACGGCCAATTGCATCGGTGTAGGGAGAGACGAAAAGATGAACTATTGTGTAACAGACGAACGCATGAGGGTATTAATAAGGCGTTGCGTCTGATGGGAAAATTTTCACGGGCGGGTCTGCAGTTTACGGTTAACAATGAATTTATCCTGATCCCAGCTTCTTTTTAATGACAATTACCCAGTGGTCAAAGGTAGGAGATGGTAGTTATTGGTCGGTAATAGGGAAGGTCCGTCACTACGAAAAAGATTAAGATTATAATTAAGTGGCACACACGTAGACATAGGTGTAGGTGTAGGATAATTATATGATCATTTAAAACTTAAATCACCAACCACGATCAAATTTGGTGATTTACTGTATTCAATACTTAAAGTTCGCTTTGCAAGGAAGATCATTAATAATTTTTCGTCATATTAATTGGTTTTTAAGGCATCCTCAAGACCTGAGGAACAACTATGAATGCGCTTAGTCGCTTATTGATGTGAATAAAATGTTGGCTAGATGGCGCCACTTGGATAAAACCGCAGAGGGAAGAGGATCCACCCTAATTTTTTTATTACTTACAATTCCTTGTAATTCCTCTGCAATCGTGGGCGGACGTAACTGCCATCATGCTACCTTGTTGAGTATTATATTACTGGTGACTCACTAGTGGAGCTGGCGAGGTACTATACTGCTGGAACTAATAGTCGTTAGAGTTTGGTAACAAAAATGTTAAGAAAGTTCATAAGAGCAATTACTGGAAAGATCTTTTTAAGTTCCTATATCCACACTCCACTGGTAGCATTTTTTTTTGGACAATTTCCAGCACAAGTGTGAAAAATATACCAACAAAATTAGTTCTGCTAAAACAGACAGTACTTTTTGATTTACTGAGAAGGAACTAAAATAAGAGTGAGAAAATTTTTATTAACGTGTCTATGTAACTTTGGCTTGACTTGATGGACAAGTTCGGAAACTTGGCATCCTTTAATGGAACTCCTTGTAAGTAAATACAGGATGTCCAAATAGTGTGTCGGTGGTTCATATAAAGCGGCACAAGTCCGTGAGACGTGTAACCTAATGTTATTTTAATGCATGCCAGATGTTCCGCAAATGTGTAAGACAGTAATATTTTTCATTATTGAACCGCCCTATATATTTCTTTCATATTTGAACTCTAACTGAACTAAGTTAATAATTTTTGTAATAGTTTGTTAAAAATTGGTAATTTTCCAAAAGATATATGATTTGCAAGTTATTTTTCGATGCAGAATTATATTTTTTGCCATAAATATTGCTGAAACAAAGTTAATACAGTTAGTCAGCGCTATATAGGGTAGCTCAAATATTGCGGAGTAAAAAAGTTTAAAACCTAGTATACCAATATGCTAATATGCTTCTCAATAAATAAGTTTCTGCGGTATGAAAAATTTGAAAATTCTCTTTCTAATTAGTTTTTAATAACTTTCTTATTATAGAAAAAAGTTGTACGTATTCGTTTCTCAATCCTTTCTAGAGACAATCTAATTAACTCGATTTGTGTTTTTAACAATAAATATTTCCATTGTACATAGAATACAAATGTGCATTTTTTTCTGTCAGAAATATAAATTTTTGTTGAATTCAGGAAATGCCAATTGATTTATATGTTTGAGATTAAAAAATACTGCAATATGACGAAATAAAAATTTAATTTCCAAAAGACCAATCAAGCCTTTTTCAAATCTGCTTATTTTTACTTTTGAAGTTTTCATAAAAGAACGGTATTTGCCATTTAATGTGTATTTCATTTTGTTAAAACCAACTAACATAATGACATATACGTATAGCATTTGGTTAGTTGAAAGGAATTATAATGAAAGGAAGCATTTGACCTTAGCAACAGCATGAAAAAAACATTCAATTAAAAAAAATGGATATGATGTTTAGATATTCATTTATTTAACCATTTTTTTAGTTTTAGAGTTTTATAGTTTACAGTAGAATTCCAATATGAAGAAATATATATAACTTTACTTACACGTTTATGGGACAACGTGTATATATGAAAATAATCTTATACATCCGTTTTGTAAAATTAATTTAGAACAAAAAATGTTCAGATTTCCACAGTTATTTATTTATGTTTTTTGTTCTAATTTAAATGGGTTAAATTGATTTTCATCAAGTTCAATTAAATTGTCGTCTATCGACAACGGTTTCCAAGATATCAACCGTTGACGTACTACTGGGACAATATGTATATATTTTTTATTTTGATTGAAAATAACAAGGGGTTCTAACCATGTATACCCGCGTAGTTATTTCGAAAATCGATTTCAAAAAAATTTAACCTTTTCAATAATGTACGTACCTAGACTGGGGAAGTTGCTAACATAATCTAAAAAAGTAGTGAACATTTTGTTATTTAGAATTGTATGTAATTTTTCATACAAATGTTCATTCTTCGTCCGTCCAAGTTATTTGCAAAATATATATGTAAAAAACTGCTATTATCGCTAGTTGCTCCCTCTAGCAATTTTACTTAAAACTATCCAGGACCAGTTCTTTCGTTTAAGCTGACGTGCTCGCTTAAATAAATAAAATGAAATTAAAAAGTAAAATTTATTAACCTGGGTTTCTGAAAAATTAATTTCAAATTTATACCTATTTTTTTTTATTTCATTTTTTACATTGAAGAATGAACTTGTAAAGTTTTGTTTTTTGTTGTATGTATTTGTTCTTACATTTACAAAATATTACGGAATTGATTCAATCTTTTAGTAATCTACATGATTTCGCATACCTTTTCGTATGTACCAGCAATGAAATATTTTACTTGAAATATTTGACCGCTTATATTCTCATCCTTGAAAATAACAAATTGCGAACACATCTCACTAACATGGGGAAATCAATAGTTTCATAATCTCCACTTCAAATCAGCAAGCCCAAAAATTCCCACAAGAAAAGTGGCAATTAACATCACAAACCCACATGATATTACTTCTTGTCCGCATATAGATCCACGTGACCACCATATCGATCACCTCGGTGGTTTTTAACCGACCCTACACAAAATAGTAAGACCTGCTAAGCGGAGTAGAATTTAAAGCATGAGGGCAAGGGGACTGCGCCCTTATGACTTCGGATTCTGTGTGAATAACATCCAGACAATAAAATAGATTGCTATACCTACACACAAGAAATTGTAATAAATATCTATATATAGAAAATAGGCAAAATATTGCAATTGTAGCTTTATTAGCCATAACATTAGATTGTAAAATGTCGGGTGTAATTTGAAGCTGCAGGTGGGGTGCGGATATAGAGAATGTGCGTTTGCATTGGGTTTTAGAAATGAATTCCAGCGATGAAAAAAGTTCACAGCGCTTAACGAAAATTGTATCCCTGTATGGTCACAGCAACAAAATAGGACACATTTACTATCTTGTAAGTTTCTCAAAAGTTAAGACATTTTCTTCTTAAAATTATCCCAAAATTCACCCATTTAAATACTGTCATTCGATTCGGAAACACGAAGTGGTAAACGCTCCACAATTTTATTTAAAAGCAAGTTTAATTAGAATAAAGCAGGTCAATAAACAGTTTAAGACGGACTGGATCACGGTTTAACTACATGACGATGCTTTTAACTACATGACGATGCTTAAACTTGAACTTTTTTTATGAAGCTTTATGTAAGATTGCTAATGATGAACCCGAGAGTGAGTGCACCAAAATATCTTGATGTTCATCTGAATTCTGACATAGTAAAAGTACAAAGTTTACCAGCTTCAAAGTTGTGCGGCAATCGTGGACTCGTAAGATGACTTTTAATATTAGTAAAGTTTGAGAAACGCCAGTTTAGTCACTTGTTTGTTTAGACACGCAGGGGAGCGAGTGCTTAAGAAACGACTGACTGAAGAAGTTTATCAACGTGACTGTCATACATCACGCCAAACGTCAAAACGTCATAAAATTAAGACAAACTAAGCTGACATCTTAAAGTGACACTTTCCTCACACTTAATCCGCGCATAATTGGGTATTTGAGAGTAAGGAGTAGAAAAACTTGTGTTATCAGTTGAAACTCTCTCTCTCAATTCAATTTATCTTAAGTATGTGTTTTGCAGATGCTAATTAAATTTTTAGAACCCAGAAAGAGATTATCAGGCAATATACAGGTTGGGTTCTAGAACATCCTGTAGACCACGTAATTTGCACGGGGATTCTTCCTGTTCGCTCTATTTACTTTTAGTGCTAAATGCTTTCATTATTCCTAAAATTGATTACTAACAAAGGGTTGTGGTAATCTTAGTATTCTACATCATTTATTTCCGGCATTCGTAAATAGTGTCCTACAAACTGGTTAAATGGTTAACAGTGGAAAATAACATTTATTCGTTTGCTTCCATTTTATTGACTCAGAATCATCCTTATCTTTTCAATAAAATTAAATGTAAGACTGAAGTGCATACGCGGAATCTTCCATTTCGATGGTATATCTCTCCTCCTCAATACACTAAATTATTTCCTGTTTTTTGCTTACATGGATTCTATAGCTTCCTAGCGTTTGTACATTTTTGTGTTAAGAGTTAATTTATTTCTTTTCTCAAATGTGTACTTGTACTTGTACTTTGTATGGTAAATAAGAGTATATTATGCAACGGCATTTGACTCATGAGTTTATTTGACACGAGCGGAGCCCAGCGGAGCGACTGTTTAATAAACGAGTGAATTAAAAAGTTTACCGAACATATTGCATACTATACTTTTTCTACGACTGTTAGTTTTCGGGTACATTTTCGCAAAACAACAAGAATACATTCACTGACATGACCGTCAGAATTGATAAACGTCAAAATTCAAAGCGTGGGATATATCTCCGAAAACATCCGATTGCTCCCAAATCCCTGCTGTAAAATCCCGGAAATGTCAGAAGTGGCTCGGATTCGTGGGAAAGGAAACTGACGTGGTAAAGTGACGCTTCCCGCACGCTAGATCGGTGGGTAATTTAGGTATTTTACAGACGGGAGTAGAAAATAGTATATTATGCAACGAGTGCGGTAAACGGCATTTGACCGTTTACCAAACATGTTGCATACTATACTTTTTCTACGACCGATAGTTTTTGGGTACATTTTCGCAAAACACGAATACATTCACTGACATGACTGTCAGAATTGACAAACGTCAAAATTCAAAGCGTGGGACAATCCGTGCGGTAAAATCCCGGAAATGTCCGAAGTGGCTCGGATTCGTTGGAAACGAAACTGACGTGGTAAAGTGAGACGCTTCCCGCACGCTAGATCGGCGCGTAATTAGGTATTTTACAGACGGGAGTAGAAAAATATTATTATTCTTATTATTTAGCTGCTTAAAAAACAGAATAGCACTATGAGATTAATTGATTTTAATTTGAAATTAGTTTGTTAGGTTGTTTACTGTTGTTCCCTATTTACATATTGAAAAATGTTATTTTGACTTTTATATTATGTTTTAAAAACTTATGTTTCTGTTTATGTTTTATAAAATTAATTTAATTCTTGAAATTTTTAAAAAATGGCGGTACTAATGTAAAAAAATTAACTTTGTAGCCCACCAACCTGAGTACGATAATAAGGATCATTTAGTTTATGTTATCCCTTTAGCTAAACAATGAACACTGCACACCAAACACTGCACCAAAATTTGATCATAACTCGTACGAACGCAAGAAACGCAGCACTAAAGCATCCTGTTGCACCCCCGATGCGTATCGAATCCGAACTGGAAGAATTAAAGAAAATTAAGAGATACAATATGGCAATTAAACCATTCATAAACAATAAGCTGATGGACTTAACGAATGTAAACGTGAAGCGCACGCATTTGACTCAATAGCCCATAAATGAATTTATCAATTTACCCAATTTTTCCCTATTAGCGACAATGACTATTAGTGCAGCTATTAGTATATTAGTTTAACTGGCCAGATTCTTTAATGCAATTCAACTCAATATTGTCCAATTGTTGCTATTAAAACATTTTACACAGCTAATGTTCACCAGTCAAATTTAGTCCTTTATTGTGTGGGGTTGTGTCTAAATCTTCCATCCGATCTTTGGGAAAATGCGCCCGTCCGGATTGTCGGTGTCTTGAAGTTACGATCTTGCACGTGTATTATACCGAGTGTCTCTTAATAGTTTTTGTGCGATATTTAGAAGTGTTCACAGATTTGTTTATTGAAATAACCTTGAAATTCACTTAGGATGACTGGCGAAATAAAAAAGCGGGAATTTTCTCCGCGGTGACAATCGAAAGCCAATTTGGACGTGATTAGGGTTAAAAGACAAGGTCAAGGATTAAATGATGCCTGGTGACGCCATGCACCAAATTGTGTACATTCAAATTACATGTCAAGGATATTCTGACTGGGTTAGATTAGGTGTATTATGTCACAGAAAAAATGTCATATATTTTGTCGCGTCGGAAGGGTCTTTAGTGGTTTCTAAAATTGTACTCTGTACTGTTACTGCTGATAGACTAGTTGTCATTGGGTATAGAATGCGTTACGTCATTTATACCCAATTATGCGCAGATCAAGCGTGTAGAAAGTATCACGTTAAGAGCTCAGCCTCGTTAGCCACTATTGGGAACCTCCTCCGACATTTCCGGTACTTTTGAGAGCGATCTGATGTTTTCGGTAGATCTTAGTACTCAGTAAATGTATTCGTACTGTTTTTCAAAAATGCGCCCAAAAACTAATGGTCGTACAAAAAGTGCATATGAGACACTTTGATAAGCTTTGTTAATTACACGTTTATTAAACACTCGCTATGCTCTTGCCTAAGCAAACTCGTGACTAAAATGGTGATTTATTTTATTTATTTATTTTGTATCAAATAGCCCAGTCGAGTACCCAAGTCAATACTCGAGCACTTAACCGTAACCAAGATGCATGTTGAGCCAGTCCTTCTGTAACTAATAATTCAACATTATTTTAAAGATACGTACTAAATTTAATACAGTATTTTTGAACCAATTTGTAATAATAAGTTGTTCTTATAACTCAAGGTAGATTAGAATTTTCAAGTCTATCCTCAACAAGATTATTACAAAGAAAAATGTGAGCTGCTGAATTGGTCATAATAATTCTAATCTATTTGGTGCTGAAGAAGCTACATAAAATTTACAAATAACACCGCTAAATTTTCAACGTTTAAGTAATACGCTCTTAAATTAAGGACGTATTCTAATATCCTGTATATTAATAGGAGACGGCAAGTCATTCATTAAATGAATAGAACACCTTTTTATTAATTTAGATCTAGCCAATCACATTATAATATTGGATGTGCCTTTCTTTGAATAATTTAGATGTCTTACCTGAGACGACTGCGGTGTGTGAAATAATCTATTAGGATCCCGTTATTCCACATACAACAGAGTTAAACTATTGTTTCATTTTAGATAAACATGTACATTTAATAATTTAAAAAAAAGCAATTATTTCGTAGATATCTCAAATTCACCAATATGTGTGATATGGAAGTGATATGGAAATGTCAACATTCCCAGTGCATGATCAGTCATCAAAAAAGAGATCTAATACAATCATCTAAATAAAATCAATTTTGAATATCTCAACCACCTCTTGGACGCATTGTATAAAAAGGTTCCAATATGCATTTACAATATGATCTTCATATCGACCCGGAAATACTCGAGCAAGTCTGGTACTTTAATCATGGGCACGGAGGGATCGGATGTTTGAAACATTGATGGTATTTCGACAATTGTCATTTCTGATTGCTCAGTGAATGTATTCCTTCTGTTTTGCAAAAATGTACTAACAAACTAATGGGAACAGGAAAAGTATATGTCATGTAAATATGCAGTGTGCAAATCTACTTATACTTCATAAGTGGTTTAGTATCACATTTTAGTGGTTCCAAATTATAGCTGTGACAATATGAAATTAAACAGTCTTCAATAGATTTTTGTTTCCATGTAGTTACAACAAAATCAGGTTCACCCACGCCACGCTAAATTCCGCCCCTAAGTTAAGTGTTGTACATTAAAAATGCCGATGATAGATAAGTGCAGCAGCAAACAATAGGTATAAAGATAATTTTTTCGATGTCCTTATTTATTGGTTAATATTATATTGGCATGTTTCGTTTTTATAAAACTTATTTTTTAATGCGCATTAGGGTTAGTTAGCAACGCATAGGGTGGTGCTTTATATTTTGCACCATATCTAGAATTTTAATTATAAAAGTTTTAATGTAAATTTAAGGTGACTGTCTGATCGACTCGTTATTATTTAATATGTATTAGATGTTTTCCTTGTTTAGTTGCACATTTTTAATAAAACGCCTGATGTGGTGATAATTAATTGATAAATAATATAGAGAATGCTTCATTTGAAAAAGTCATAGTGTGCTATTTGTTGATCTCATTGACTTTGTTGGTTAATTATTTGTAACAATTATTTGTATTTTTTCCTCCTGTGAATTTTTGTATCGTTATAGGTTAAAATGGGAATATATTTTAGAAAACAAAAATTAATTTATATATAGAATTTAGAAAATAACTAACTAAAAAAAATAATGAAAGCGTTGTATTTTAATACACTTGTATATTGTTTAATAATATTTTATATAATGCATTGAACTGTTTAAGAGTTTCGGTTATGAAAGTTTGATAGTAAATTACTGTGCTTTAAAATTTATAAAATATGAAGAAAATTATATGATATTAGAATTTAGGGTATTAAATCATATTTTATATTTCTAAAACATGTGTTTTATTTGAAAGATTATTTCATTTTCATTTCATATCGAGTTCTATATCTAATGAATATTAATATTTTTCATTTTTCAATAAGCTAAGAACCTTTTGGTGCTCCTCGTATACAAAGTCAGGTGGCGCAAAACCAAAGCTGGATTTGGATAATTTTAACCTCAGTATCAGCTGTTTTTTGTTATAATTCTTTACGCTAGTTAATTTCGAGTGGGGTCCTCCACTGCTTCCCTAGCGGTTTTTTCTTTTTCAACGCTCAGGCATAAATTATTATTTCTAAAATTACACAAATACGCACTGTTTTTCGAGCATAAATATTTCATAGCAGGCAGTCTAAAACGGTAGACGGGGACACTTGTTGCGAGCCTTCATCATCCGCTCTTCCAATTGAATCCAATTAAGTAGCCATTAGATTTAATTTACTTTAACTCGCTCAATTGGGTGATGGCGTAGGGGTCATGTGTGTACCATGCGGGATCTGTTATTGTTGTCCGGCAAAAGTAGAAAACATGCGCACATGAGATGATTACACGAAAAGATGAAACGTATGTTTTGCTTGATATTTCGGGAATTGACCAGTGGGTTGCCATTGTTCGTCCGCTTTATTGGGACGTAAATTTTAAATAAATTTTGCACCTTCAACGAAATTGCAAGGAACTCAATGGAATGGTAATAGAATTTAAGATTATTGTAGCAAAAAAACTAGTCTCTCTCAAATAAGCCGGGAATACATACTAATTCAAATTCAGACTCTGCCATTGGTATCTCGGAAGTTACATCAGATACGAGAATTAGGGTACTTAGGCCAATTTTGCTAATTTCAGTTCTTAACAATGTGCTGTTTAAAAAAATCCGGATAATTCCTGGAATTATTATTAAAATTAATTTTATTTATTTCTGGTGTCATGTAATAAGATAACGAAAGGCATGTTTTCATTGAAGCTGTTTTTCAGCTACACTTTTTCAGATTTCAGATTTCAAATGCGATGTTTTGTCTGTCCGAAGAAACCACTATATTTTTTTATTTTATTTTTTTTGAAACTTAAAAAGAATTTTAATGAAAATGTCGCAAAAAATTGAAGTTGAGTATACTGCAGAAATAGACCAACTAAATCAGTTTTATCAGTATTGCTGTGACCCACAGTTATCAGCAAAATAACCCAGGCTACATTTTCTCGGAATGATAATCAGCAAAATGAAAGCGTAAACTTTACACCTCGCAACTATACACGAAAACGTAATTCCTACGCACAGTTCTTAAAATATGTCTAACAACAATAATTCTAACAAACCTCTCAAATTCTGTTCACTATGACCAATTTATTGTTTCTACACAATTCGCTCACAAATATAATTCTTTATTGTCCGGTTAAAAAATATTTAGTCTATCCAATTCTATCAAATAGCCGCTTTGATAGATCTATTGGAACCCATAATTTCAAATTATTAAAAGCATATTTAAATTTTGCGAACGGTTGTTTACTCCATATACCAAAATTAAATTATTACCAAACAAGACGAAATGATAAAACATTTATTTTTCTAGTTATTAAAATAGAAATAGAAACAATTTAAAACAATGAAGTAATAATTTCAGATAAATAATTTGTGAGATTGCTGAATATCTATCTATAGCGCGAAATGGAAAAGTGATTATCTTCTTTTTAAACAATGCTTGCTATAGTATAACTTTAGATGTTCTAGAAACAATCAAAGTAGAAACATTTTGCAAAACGGTAATTGAAAATATTGATTTAAATAAGTCTTCAGTTTACCAGTAAAATCTTGAAGAACCCAAAGATCCAAAGCGTGTCTAACTACCCCTCTTGAGGGTAGAGTTGAAGCTAACAGGGAGGAGTTGTTATCTTTCCAGCGATTCGAGCTCCACGGAGTCCTATTCCTTCATATGAAAATGTTATATCATTTTCCCAGGAATTAGTTAAGATATGATGTAACGAACATCTTTTAAATTTAAATATAAAAATAAAGAACGGTGATCCCTAGTAGTTAATTGACGCAAAAGTAAAGTTAGGTACGTGGGAATCCCGCATAAAATTACTAGCGGGATTGTGTCGTGCTTAGTATATGTTTTTCGACTTTGCTGAGAGTAATATTGAACGCGTGTTACCCTCATCCCTAGTATAATTAGCACCCTACTAAAAAGCAAGCTTTTATCTCTTGAGTGACATTTGGCAATCTGAGCTTTTATAGTGGTGTATATAGGGGATGATATCTTTATGGTCAATTTTAAAAATTTATAATTATGGTGGCTGTCGGGAATTGTACATTTTATGGGGTTGCTGTTAAAAATATTTTTTTTACGCCGCACTTTAAAATATCCCAATATGCCCCAATCAATTTTTCAGTATCAATTTACGGCGTTAGCTTTGTTTGGTAGATCTTAGCCACTGAGGGAATTTTGATATTTTTTAGTTCCGATATTCACGTCACACGTTTCTGTTATTTTATCAAACCTTTCAAGATTCCTACCAGAAGAAACTTCTCTACATAAAAGTAATGCGTTTATTGAAGCTATGTGTTAAATGAAATATTAGAAAAACAGTAATTTCTCAAAAATAGCTAAAAATACGGATAGGGAATCGTTACTAAAATATGAAACATTATGTGCACCTATCAATTGTAGTGTACTTATCGGAACAATCTATGTTAAAGTTACACCATAGATAGATAGACGCGCACCCATCACGCGGTGCGTAATGTCGTGGCCTGCCTAAAGAAACAAAGGTTTATTTCGAAATTGCATGTGAAAAAAAAACAATACATCTAATTCTAAAATTTACCTATGATACTTTTTATTGACCAAATAATTGTTTAATAACAGCTTGCTAATTTTTATTCATATCACTATTACTTGTGCATAACAATAGTAAAAAGGAAACGGATGTTAAAGTTAGTTCTTAAACTTTAATGGTTGGATTTAAAACGGAAAATATAATTTTCGTTTAAATACTTCTTCTGTCATGAATGTAATTAACACCCGTAGAACTTGTAGGCAAGTTGACCATTCCTTATCGGGACCACCATTCCCATATATATAATTTTGACACGTTAGTGCAAATGAAATTTGTCGAAGTTTCTTGCATTTAAATAGATACTTATATTGTGAGAATGTGAAATTTTAACTGTGATCCCTAAAGAGAGCTACACAGCGTTGCCAAACCTATATTTTTTCGATTTAACTAGGAAATTATATATAACGTTAACATTATGCTTATTTAACACCGTCCGTTTTGAAATGCAAGTTGCAAGTCAATAGAGATAAACTGAATTGAGTTTGCTCAAAAATTCTCGCAATGGGTTAAGGAACCATAACATTTTTACATAAACCATGGTTACAAATAAAGCAACATTGTCACTGCACTTTTATAAAAATGATTTATAAAAATCTTTAAGAAATGCCTTATCCACCACATGGTAAATAAGCGGTTCTAATAACTTTACCCCTGTAATTTAGGATTAAATTAAAAACAGCCAGAATTAAGATTATTTATTTTGTGGTAGCAGATAACTAACTTTCATAAAGTTGACTCACATTATAAAAACAAGACTCTCAAACATTTTCATAAAATGGCGATCACTTTAGTCTTCAGAAATAATTGGAAATTTGGCAACAGTGCATGGAAATTTCTAAATACTATGATTGAATCAACTGACAATTCTGGTGTCTGTGGCGCCATTCACTATATGGCACTATGTATCTCAGTTTGAGGATTACTGTTTTTAGATAACTAATAACCTAATTAACACAAAAATATTTTATTATAACCTAATTTATTATGAAACAGTACTAGCGAAATTAGCAACACAAATTGTACATTTGTATTGCAGATTTTGTAGGTTATGTGAAGAAAAATTATTCAACAATCTTTGAGAATGACTTTAATTGAATATTTTACTTCCTTATCCGAAAACCCCTATTTCGGAGCTGGTTTTGGTTTGTTTGGTTTAGGAGCTGGTGCCGCAATATTGCGCAAGGGCTATCAAACTTCACTTATATTGTTCCGAAGGCATTATATGATTACATTGGAGGTGCCTTGCAGAGACAAGTCTTATCAATGGCTCTTACAATGGATGACAACGAAAGGAGCTCGCCAGACTCAGCATTTAAGCGTAGAAACTAGTTTTGAACAAAGAGATAGTGGGCATGTCAAAACAAAATATGATTTTATTCCCAGTATCGGGACACATTTTTTTAAGTAGGTGGGACAAGAATTGTATTTTTTAGAAATTAGTTTGAATTTGTTAATAGATATGGCTCAACATGGATCAGAGTTGAAAGAACAAGAGAACAACACACATTAGATCTTCATATGGGTATTCCGTGGGAAACTGTTCAATTAACTGCTTTTGGGAGAGACAAGGGAATATATTTTCAAATTCTAGAAGAAGGTGAGATTTTTGTTTTTCGTTTCAATTTTAAGCATTTAACTCCAAATTGGCAAGCATGGAAGGATGAGCTATAGGGTGATATTTTCATATTTATAAGAAAATACTTACTAATCTTGTTAGCTAGACAGATGGCACTTAAACAGCATGAGGGAAAAACATTAATGTACACTGCAATGGGTACTGAGTGGAGGCAGTTTGGGCACCCGAGAAAGAAAAGACCAATATGTTCAGTTGTATTGGATGATGGCATTAGTGAAAAAATTTTAAAAGACTGTCAGGACTTTATTGAAAATCCATCATGGTATACTGAGAGAGGCATTCCATATAGAAGAGGTAGATTAAACTTGAACAGGAAAAACCTCGGTTTATTTATAAAAACATTATTTCAAAATTGTTTTAGGATATCTTCTTTATGGGCCTCCAGGTTGTGGCAAGTCCTCTTATATAACAGCATTGGCTGGGGAATTAGGTTTTTCCATATGTGTGCTAAATTTATCTGAAAGAGGACTTTCTGATGATCGGTTAAATCATCTACTCAGTGTTGCTCCTCAACAAAGTATTGTTCTTCTTGAAGATATCGATGCAGCTTTTGTGTCAAGAGAAGACACAGAACAACAAAAAGCTGCCTATCAGGGTTTAAATAGGGTTACCTTTAGTGGCCTTTTAAATTGTTTAGATGGGGTTGCAAGTACAGAAGCCAGGATTGTATTTATGACCACAAACTATATCGAAAGGTAATAGGTAAATTAGGATATATATATATAATGGGGATATTTCTAAAATTTAAATTTGCAATTATTTTATTTTTTATTTTGTTTAAAATGTTGATAAGTAATTTGGTTAATTGCAAAATTTTATCATAATCAGTCTAACCTTCCCAACTATTAAATGCAAAATTTAAATAAAACAATATACATGAGGTTTGTGACTGCCTGATATCCTCATTTGTGTTGGAAAAGATTCAATTGTAAAACTATTTTAAGAAATCAGTATTTTTTTTAAATATATATATATATATATATATGTTTAATAGGTTATAGAAGCATTTTTCATTAAATGCAGGTTAGATCCAGCTTTGATCCGGCCAGGAAGAGTCGATCTTAAAGAGTACATTGGTTGGTGTTCAAAAAATCAAATTGAAAGAATGTTTCTTAGATTTTACAGAAATGAGAAGCAGAGCTTGGCAATTGATTTTGCGAATAAAGTTACCTCAGAAAATAGATATGTCAGTCCAGCTCAGATACAAGGTTTCTTTATGTTCCATAAACAGTCAACAGTAGAAGCAGTTCTGAATGATTATAAACTTATATGGAATCTTTAGTTACTAAGTCTAAAATTTTGGTATTGAATTTTAATAAATTTTTATTTGTTTTGAATTGGATTTGTTATTTTTTCTTTCCTGATCCTTTCTTTTTACTCTTTTTATCTTTCTTTTTCCGGTATTTTCCTAAACCACGCCTAACCATTGTCCCTCTCCACCAAGCTTGTATTTTAGTTGCAGCTCTTTCTCTTTTTTGATTTTCTTTAATTTTTTCGTCCCTTTGAAGTTTATAAGTCTTGAACTCATCCATTTGATTCTGACGCTTCTGCAACTAACGGAAAACGAAATTGTCACCCTTGGCATCAAAATATGGAATATGTATATTACTAGAACTGCTAGTGTTGCAATTTTTTCGTTTTGTTGGCTCCTCTTATTGTGCATTTCGTTTATTTTATGCTGTAGATTTGCAACGTCAGTCTCATATTTTGTTGTCCATTTCGTCGTTTCCTCTTGCAAATCCTGTAATTAAAAATATTACCTAGTAAATGTATGGAGTACATTAATTATAGTAATCTTCATAATAATGGAATATATACCTTTTCCGATTCATTGTAAATATTGGAAATTTCTTGATGCACCCTTTCTTCTTTAGTGAAATCGTGTTGTTTATCGATAATGGTTTGCTTTTTTTCATTTTCCCTATTCCCAAGACTGTGTTGCGTTAACTCTAATCTTGCCGCTTCCCAACTTTGCAGATATACATTCTTAATTTCAAATTCAGTTTGAAAGTCCTAAAATTAATAGATTTTTTTCTTGTATGGATTTTCCGCCGCAGGTGCCCGATTTCGGTTTTCTCAGAAGTAAGAAGTGAGCTGAAAAGTTTCCGTAAGGTATTTAAATCCAAGATGTGTTAGTCATTTAAACGATTTTCGCGAAAAGCTAATATACACAGTTCTCAGAAAATGATAGACACGCCAATTTAACTTTTGAATCCATCTATATATATGGAAAACCACCGAAAATACAAAAATACTTATTTAACTAGGAAATACATGAACATCAAAGTAGATAATACGCTGAATATCGTTGAAAATTTGAAAGGCTTTTTGTAGTAATATCCATTCATTCATTCTCTCAATTTTTGACCCTGCTACTACGCCAATTCCATAATTTCACACTAACATCGGGAGTAGTAGTTTGTCAATTGGAGTAACACGAAGTAAAATGCACACACAATCCGCTCTTTAAATTACTTGAAAAACTCAAAAGCCAATATGGAATATTGGTTGGTGCAGTAAACAAAAACTATTTCTATTTAATTAATTCAGTTCTATATTTGCTTTAAAATGTCATTAAATGTAAAAGAAGAATCGTCAATGCCTTAAAATATGAGTTGGACCAAAGTATTGCCAGAGGTAAATTAAAAGTTCCTTAGAATTTTACGTAGAATACAAATCTGTAATTTCTGAAAACATTCGTTCATTTCTATTGGAAATTATTATACATTATGGTTCTTAATAGAATTTTTTCGAAAATTCGACTATAAAATTTCAAGTACCTTCACTCTGTATAACTTTTCCTTTCTTGTAGATATTGTTTACATCACCAAGCAATTACTTTTTTATGATTGTCGAGTTATTTATTGCAGAAATTCCTAAAAAGTTTTGATGTGTTCAATAGTAGTGGGAGATATAAAGTTTACAGGGTGTATAAGATGTACAAATCCATTTCAAATGTATTTTATTACTATAAACGACCCCTATTTTATATCATTATTTTTGTATTATTTCGTTAGTATTTGCGACTAATTATGCCTTATTAAAACAAAAACACCTCAGACACCAAAACACAAAAAATAACTTTTGGAAATATAAAAAAAAACAGCTGTGATTAATTATGCCTTTGCTAGAGGACGGATACATTACAGATCAAAAATACTCAAAAAATAAATTTAGAAACCATAAGTAACATAAGTGAAAATGTAAATTTTTATAAATTTTTGAAAATATTACAAAAACAAAGACACAAAAAACATCGGCGAATATGTGAAAATGTGACTAATATTTGGTACTAGCTAATTGAAGCCATTGCCGATCACTTTGTTGGAAAGGTGTGCAAGACACTGAAATACGAATTTGTTCATATAGCGATAAATAATTTCAGCTTCATATCTTTACATTTCCAGTGAAGTAATCGATTTTAATTTCATTTTAATCAAATATTCTAATTTATTATCCCTACATACCCGAATGCTGTCTTTCATCTTTCCAATTTTTCGCATATAATTATCAATATCATCTTGAAATGCACATTCTTCATTTCTCGACAATCTTTGCAATTCTAGCAGTTTTTTACCAAGTCTCTTGTTTTCCTGGATTACCTTCCAGTTATTAATATGAGTTTTTTTAAAATTTTCTAACAATTTTAATAATTCTTCGTAACTCCCCTTGGAATCAATTTCTCCATAAATTTCATTCAACTTGAACTCGACGAAGTTGTAATCTTTCTGAGCATCTGTTAAATTGGCTCGATCTTTTATGATTTCAGAACACAAATTAATTTGCTCCATGGTCAACGAAGGGGTCCTCAAAATTATTAATTCGTTCAACGCTGCGTTCAAGCAATATTTTATAGTTTCTTTCGACAATTGCTCAGGTAACATAACTACAAGCGCATATGACTACGATACCTAAAAGTTAATGGACATTATTTAATCAATATCAACTTTTGGTGTCTATGGGTTTCTTAGGTTACGCCATATTTTCTATTATAAGTTCAAATGCGTTGATATAGTCGGATTAGTACATTGCAGTATTTATTATTCTAAATTCTCATTTTCTAAACTCATTAAACCTATTTATACGTGGAGCACACGTCAAATATATCCTGTTCTTTTATATAACTTCAATGTCATTGTACAATGTAAACCAAAATCGAAATTTAAAATATGCTATATGTTTTATAGATAAAAATTATATATAGGATACCCAAAATGGAGGTAATGGAGGATAGAAGAGGATATGCAAGATAATGCAATAAGTTTGATAAATGCTATTTTGATTGATTGAGGCTAATTTTTGATTGAAAACTAATGGTTCTAGAAAAAGTGTAGTTATGTAGGTATATGAACTTCTTCAAGTCACCATATTATAGAAATGTGTTCATTTAATCCTTCATAATGACAGTCTGACAATCAATCTTGTCATAAGTAACTCATATTTTAAAACATTCAGCAGGAAATAATTTAGATATTATGTCCAGAGTAGTACAAAGAATAGTAGCAGTCCCACTGCACAAAATAGAAGTCGATCCCTACGAATACAGAGCTCCAAGACCTGCAGAGGCGAGAAATACAATTTTTGACCGCCTGAATGCCAGCGGTTTGTTTTGCTTCTGGTTTATGATTGTTTTGTTAGCCTTTACATTATCTTTGGCAATATCTGTACTGGCTGTTGCCTTGGCTAGAATTCGTTGCAATATAAAACAGTAAGCAATATTGGTTTTTATTGAGATATCTGAGATTTTTACTTATGCCTTACCTATTTGGTATGCTGTAGATCATAATACCATACTATAATACAACAAAAAATGTGATGCTGAATATCGAACATTATATTAATTTAAACTATCTTTTTATTTTCAATATTGTTTACTACAAAATGTCTCATACACACAAGACATACAATTACAACTGTGTGTTAAAAAGTGTTAAAAATAAATTAAAACTGTTACATAAATGCAAATTATGAAATGCTCGGGGACCGAATAAAAACAATTCGAAAAGTAAAAATTGCAGCAGCATGTGGTCACTTTAAGTTTGTCATTTAAAATAGAGAGTTCCCTAAATGATATTTCAAAAAAAATGTTTCCTATACTACTTTTAACTAACCAATTTGGATATTCGGAGTCGATAGTCGAGTTATTTTTAAGTTCGAAGATATATTTATGGTGGTTTTGATGAAAAAGTCAGGTTAGAATTTTAAGAAACGTGCTAAATGTTACCATTTTGGTTTTTGAGATAAGCAAACATCTATAGATATTATTAAATTTTACACAAATCTTTTGTTTTCAAGAAAAGACTAAATAATAAACATACAACTTTGGGCAGATCAAAAAAGAGTTCACCCACGTACTTTCTTCCTCAAAGTATCTCGGAAACAAAGCTTTCAGAGAAATATACTACTATATCTTCCTCACTTATCGCTATTTTGAAAATATGTTTCAATAAATTTATTATAAATAATAAAAATATTTCATAAAAGCGTACCATTACAAAAATATCTCTTTTTGTAATGGGACACGCCATAAATGCTTACTGCTAATATTTTGAAATCTACAACTAAAATGAGCTGTTTCCATTTGAGTTTTTAATTATCTTGTATTTATTTACTTTTAAAATATTATTTGTAGAAAATTAATCCCAAATAAATAAGGAAGGCTTTTAGTCGGAGAAATCGATCTACACTTGTCAACAAAAATACAAACATGCATGCATAAAAATATAATATTTTAAAAGTATAAATGGACTGCTCAATACATTCGTTTATATAGTTGTTGTGTCTTGGTGCTAATTCAAAATAGTCCGCATCTACTAACATATAGACAAAGTTGTATCGTAAGCCTATTAACTGTGTATGCTCCAGTCAAAAACAAATTTCGCGATAATTTTGATAAAATGCAACCAACTTTGTCACGAAATCGTTGATGTTTCTGAAAAGCAACTGCAGGGCACGAAATACAAGTAGTGTGATTATAGGATTATTACTCATAACCTCGATTTATTAAATCTAATCTAAATCCCTTCACTTCACTGCATTCCTTATAAATAGTCGAGGAGTTCATAAAAAAGTTAAAATATTTTGTGAAAACCTAAATATGAAGAAGTTTATGATTTTTGCATCGTTTGCGGCCTGTCTGTCCGCATCAGCAGCAGAGAATGATGTGCCTTTAAATGTCAGTATCGCAGATTTCATTTTCACACCTCAGCGCTTGGAAGAATTGAAATATTTTCTAAAAAATACCGAAGTTGAAATATTTAAGTAAGTGAATTATTAGTAAGTTTTGTTAAAACTTTAGTTCAATCTTAAACGTTCAGAGACGAAAACTTCTGGATTTATTCACAATTTTTATTTTCAACTAAAATAATTGGTATATGGAATAATATAAAATGTTAAAATAGGTAGTCTTTTTTCCTATACATAAATATAATCATACATGTATTGTGATTTGTGTTAATCAAAAAGTTATTTAGTCCCGAGTTTCAGTTTAATAAATGAGTATCTGAATAGGTGTAACAACCTGCTGCATATTGTTATCATTTTTCTACAACCATTAGTTTTTGGGTACATTTTTAAAAAATCAGCACAAGTATCTTGCCGTTGGCCAGCAACTTGATGATAAAATGATTTTTTGGAATGCTTTGAAAGTGGTGATTCTACGTCCCAATGTTAATCTTAAGATGAATTAGCTGTATTCCTTTTAGTTAGTAACAACGCGGTTATAATGAATCCATTTTCTTGCTCTTTATTTATGGGAGCTTTGGCTTTTTTATACTTATTTGTTGGCCACTTCAAGATAGCCTCAGGAATTTGCTTTATTATCCGACATTGAAAACGTATTGCTTCAATAATTCTTCAAACGTTTGTTAATTACTTTTTACAAAACTTCTGGATTCCTGCTGCGTCGATTTTTGCTGACGTTTCGCCAATCATCCTGTTGGCTTCTTCATAGCTTGACTGAAACTGGTTCGCATTTTATTCTGTACCTGCTTATATATTGTTTGAGGGGGGGTGCTAATGAGAGGCAGAAATACCGTCTCGGAGGACTGATTCCCAAATTGGTTTGTTAATTCTTTATTGGAAGAAGAATATCCGGAAATTAAAATTATTAACAAAGCAGTATAACACTCAAACGTTGACGGTTATAGAGGTACCAATGGGGAAAAGAAGAATAGCAAGAAGCGTTGTTAAACAATTGTTTTAAAGTTAAAACTATCAGTTGAGATTTACAAAAACGTACTCGTAGTAGTTCCAAAAAACGAGATACACTAGAGCTCACTCGGGGCTTGCAAAGACACTACAGGAAATTCTGGAACAATTCAGAAAAATTAAGGAAGGGAAGGACCATCAAAGCATATGCCAATAAGTCAACTTATAATATACGTGGTGCTTGTGCATTTAGAAAAATAAGTATTAAAAAGCTTTCTATACTACGTTATTGCCGTTCTAAAATGCGAACTTCCGAAAAGCTCCAACTAGTTGAAGAGGTACACCACGTAACAACTACAATTATGGATGTCTTGAAGAAAAGGTCTTTTGATGGTCTGCAGGCATTCGATTTCTCTCTTTTTGACATTATTTGCTGTTTGGGTAGCGAGCTACCTAGAATATTTATGTGACCTAAACCACTTATTGTTACCTGATAGTCATAAAAAAAAAATAACATCACAGTTCAATGATGGTGGTTTTGCCCTATTTTGTTTTACACTTGCATTGATTTCACCTGTGGTATAAGATTCCCATAAATTTTAATTCCATTTCCCTCAGATCAGCAACTATAATTCTGGAAATCAATGAATACGTAGATGCGATATTTGAACAATTGAAGTCGATAATAATTCGTTCAGGATTGGATCCTACTCAACTGTCGGACGAAACTTTAAAAGTGAGTGTTCTGTTTTTCAAAAATTATTCTCCCTTGAACACTTTAATCTTTGTTAGCTATTTCCTACTGGAAAAATTACTTTGACCAATGGATGGCTGCAGGATGTATCATCTCTCTCGCGATACGATGATGCCGAAATTAGTTATAACACCAAAACTAGGAAAGCTACCATCAGCTTACCAATCAATTTTAAGGCTCTTTTGGTAATTGTGTCGGAGAAGGGGTAATGGAATTTCAAACTGCTTCGTTTTTTAGTTTACCTATAATTATCACACCAAGGTGTTGCTGGTGAGTATCAAGGGAAAAGCCATAGGAAAAATTAATAACGTAAACCACATTAGGATTCGACTTTGGCCAAAACTTGTTCGCCCTAGAAAGTTTGTCTATGAAAAATACAGGGTGAGTAAAACCATTCATATGTTAAAAAGAAATAGCGAACTCTTGTATTTATAATGGAAAACTTATTGCAGTCCGTAGTGAACCGCTGATTTATGGTAGATATTTAAAAAAGTTTCATTTTAGTCTTTGAATTTTAAAGATTTAGAGTATAAACTTTTTTTGTCGATATGGGATTTTCAGCCAGTGGTGCAAACAATCCTTCTTGGTCTAGGCGTCAGTGGTATTGCGTTTTTATCTTATATCATTTCTCTTTAAACAGGGTGTGAATTTAAAAATTAAAATTTGAATTTTAAAGTCAACATCTCGGAACATTTTTTCCATTTTGTTGATGCATGTTTATGTAATTTTATTTTCATTTTAAAATTAAAACTAAACAATAACAGATACCGTCTAAACAGCACGAAGTAATATATATGTTGAACTCCGACTGGAATCCTGCACCCGACTGGAATCCAGCAGACGTTTCGCCAAAATCTCACTTGGCATCTTCAATGAAATAAAATAATATATTATGCAACAAGTGCGGTAAACGGCATTTGACTCACGAGTTTATTTGACACGAGCGGAGCGTAGCAGAGCGAGTTTTTAATAAACGAGTGAGTTAAAAAGTTTACCGAACGTGTTGCATACTATATTTTTTCTACAACCGTTAGTTTTTCGGTACATTTCCGCAAAACAACACGAATACATTCACTGTCAGAATTGACAAACGTCAAAATACAAAGCGTGGTAAATATCTCCGAAAACATCCGATTGTTCCCAAAGCCGTGCGTTAAAATCCCGGAAATGTCCGAAGTGGCTCGGATTCATGGGAAACGAAATTGACAGGGTAAAGTGACGATTCCCGCATGCTAGATCGGTGGGTAATTAGGTATTTTACAGACGGGAGTAGAAAAACCTAATTTCATTATACTCTAATATTTCCATAGCAATGTAAATATTAAAAATTGGCAAAAATATTCAGAGGTTCTAACTTAGTGATTCACACCTAAGGAACAAGACTCCCCATCTTTTCCAAACTTTCCGCGACCCTGTGAAATAGAAGGGGTTTACCAGAAAAATCTTAAACCATTGGTACGTAGGCGAACGATGCTCTTTGCGCCACTAGCTGAAAATTTAATATCAGAACGGAAATGTCGAAGTTATAGTTTCCTCGAATGTTCCCTTTACAGCTTTAATAGGTATAAAAATATAATATACATAATATGTAAGATTTATAACATACAATATAATATATATAATAATAGAAAAACAAAGATACATTGTTAATCAAATAGGATAACGGTTTCAAATTTAGGTATAAAGGTGAAAATCCAAACTTATACAAACTTACTTGTATTCACAAAAACAATTGGTATCTTATCGCGAAATTAATATAAAGCATATCTCAAAATGTAACGTTCGACAGGACTTCATTAATATTTAACTCTACAGCTTAGTCGCCGGATGAAAATCTTAAAAGCAATTCGGCTACCGTCAAAATTCAAATAGACTTTTTTTTACAGTCACTGACTTCACCCTCACCTTTGTTTTTTCTTCTTGTTCATTTCTCACATTCTACAGTTGTTATGATTATGATTATCTGCTTCCATTCATTGCATCCTTGCAAAAAGTTTGACCATTATAAAATGTGTTATATTTGGTACCGTTTTTTGTATAGATATTTGTATTTTTAGTAGTATGAAAGAACATATACAAAAAATGTCCATTCATACTTACATTTTGTCCATAGTAGTGCTTTTCGGAAAGCTAAGTATTCTGCCACACTGGTGTGAAATTTTACTATAATACTATAACACTATTCGTGCATATGACAAATTAAAAACGAAAAAAAGTTACAGTTACATTGAGTGATGGAAACTCTATTAACTCTAAATTTAGAAAGGATAGTTGTATAAAATTATACGAGTTATTTTTTAAAAACATGTATTTGTCAAATGAAACCTATTTCCCAACAGTAAAATAAGCGAAAATGTAAGGAGAATGTTTTTTTTTTGTAATAATCGAGAAGAAATAAAGTTATCATCAATTTATCTAACGTTAAACAAAATGAAATAAAATGTGCCACTAAAATATGAAGAAGCAACATTGTAATAAGTTTTTTCCAAGTGAGGTATGATATACTAAGGTCCAAAATGTGTGTAGAGAATGCGGACAAGTTAAACTTGATTAATTAATTGTACCCTGTGTTCAATTTATCCTGATAATATTTTAATTGGCTGTAACTTTTTTTGTTTTTAGAAATATCAAGGTAAACAAAAAACAAAATGTAGGGTTAGTAGCCAAGTTTTATTGCATGGGACGCATAAAACAAAACGCTATCCATTTTCTGACATATAAGCCTAGATCGTATTTTTTAAATATATGTATATTATATATGAGTTTAATAGAATATCTTATTCCGATTACAATGATGTATTTTAGTCTACTCGTTTTGGACAAATCGGCAAAAATATGAAATTTTTATGTAATTTCAAAGAGTGCCGTGACTGACTACAACAACAATAATTATTTACAAATTGAAGTAGAACAAAAACACTAAAAACGACAAGACACACTAAAGTTAAAAATTATTTAACTATTCTAAATACTACTGTATGTGACCATCATTTTCCTGAACACCTTTCTTATACACTCTAACTGTATGATGTCTTGCATTTAGTAACGTTTTGGGATTGTGTCTTAACTGATTAATTGCATCTGAAATCCTTTGCCGAAGTTCCACTACATTATTACAAGAAGTTCTGTGCACGTGAATTTTTTATGTGATCCCAAAAGAAAAAATCCAATAAAGTTAAGTTGGGGCTGTTGGCTGGCCAACCCATAATTCCGTCGTTCCCTATCCAACCGCTGGAACATTCCGTGTTAAGAAAATTTTTATCTTGCAGAACATTGTGACCAAGGGCACCGTGTTGCTGCAATATAATCATATAATCAGCGCTTATATATTTAGGGGTTATATTAGTTAACTGGAAATAATTATTTGCAACTCATTGACCGTCAAATAGAACGGTATATATACATATATATATATATACCGATTACCTGATTAACAACTCATACCCAAGTAGGTTAACTAAAAAATTGTTATATAGCACGACCCCACTAAGAGCTCCAAACCCGCGGAACACGGTCGTCCACTCAGATAGCCCAGAAATGGACGATCTGAGATGTTTTTATTTTTCATTGCCATACATTAAAGAATTAACGACCACACTCACAAAAATTCTGAGAGCACAAACAAATATTAAGATAGCATATAAACAAACAAAAACATTGGGGAGTGTCTTTAGCAAACTAAAAGATAAGGATGAGGTACAAAAGAATTCAGAAGTAATTTATAGCATCCCCTGTAATCAGTGTGATCAGGTATACATAGGACAGACATCGCGAGTACTTAAGGATAGAATTACGTCACACAAGAGTGATTGCAGACTCAATAAGAACACCTGTTCATTAGCAACACACTCTAACCAAATGGATCACGATGTTAACTTTGTTGAAACAAAAATTCTCTATAAAGAAAGCAACTACAACAAAAGAGCAATTTTGGAAATGGTGGAGATCTTCTTGGAACCGAAATCGGTCAATAAAAGATCTGACATTGATGGCCTCAGTGTGATCTACTCTAATGTCTTAACTTTACAACCAACCGTCAATCGAATTGCGTTTGCTGATAATAGTGTCGTCACAATGTAATTATAATTTAGAAAAATAGTCCCAAGCCTCTATACATTAGGTGCCTTGTAAACAAAAAGGAGGTAACAAAAGGAAAAAAAAAAAGAAGGGAAAAAAACTGGACGGCTGGCGGTAGTCATATTAATAAAACTTTTCCATCATTTGCGTTTTGCGTTTGAAGTAAAATTCGTTTAAATAAAATGTATCAACAATTTCGTCTAGATGGCTGCCCTCGGTTATAATAATTAACGGTCGTATTTGATTCTTTCTGTTATCCGGATGAGTTTGGTGTTGGCCTATAATGGCATTGTAGCAGTAAGTACTTTAACTAGAAGACTTTAGTATTAAATAACTAAGAGCCGCTTTCATATTGTAGCCCCTGAAGAAGAAAATAAACATTTTCGAAAGCTTGGTGTAGCACAAAAGCCTTTTATTTGAGCCCTCATCAGGACCGATACCCCAATTAACTAAAATTTGTTATATATATATATATATATATATATATATATATATATATATATATATATATATATATATATATATATATATATATATATATATATATATATATATATATATATATATATATATATATATATATATATATTCTCACGTATTGATTCACGGATGGAAAAATGTGATGACACTATACTCCGGGATATCATCCGTTCGCTCGTTGAACTCCGACTGGAATCCTGCAAATCCTGCATCCGACTGGAATCCTGCAGACGTTTCGCCAAAATCTCACTTGGCATCTTCAATGCTCGCGCTCCGAAAACACTTCGAACACTAGGAGGTTATCGGCGGTGCGTGCGATATTTATACTCTGCGCCGGAGATGGTAACGGTGCTGCTTGTGCGTGGGGGGAAGTGGCTCCGCCCCATGAATTGTCGCGTTGTTAATTTCGCACGATCGTAGTTGCGATGTCCCCGTTGGCTGCTGCGCATCGCTCTGCTGTTTGATTATCGTTCTCCACGTGTTGGATAAATGCAGAGCGTCGTCTCTCGTATTGAGGTGTCCGGACTTTTCTATTTCGATGGCCTCTCGTATAATCCTAGTCCTAAAATCAGGAATATTAGCAATTTGTTTGCAAGTGCCGAAATCAATTTTATGGCCTGTCTGATGTTGGTGCTGAAACAAAGCAGATGTTGTCTGTTTGTTTCTTATGGCTAAACGATGTTCCTCGAGCCTGGCTGAAATCCTTCTGTTGGTCTGTCCCACATACGTCAGGCTGCACGATCCGCATGCTACACTGTATACTCCTTGGTTTTCCAAAAAAAAAAAATTACTCTGGAAAACCAAGGAGTATACAGTGTAGCATGCGGATCGTGCAGCCTGACGTATGTGGGACAGACCAACAGAAGGATTTCAGCCAGGCTCGAGGAACATCGTTTAGCTATATATATATATATATATATATATATATATATATATATATATATATATATATATATATATATATATATATATATATATGATGACACTATATTCCGGGATATCATCCGTTCGCTCGTTGAACTCCGACTGGAATCCTGCATCCGACTGGAATCCTGCAAATCTTGCATCCGACTGGAATCCTGCAGACGTTTCGCCAAAATCTCACTTGGCATCTTCAATGCTCGCGCTCCGAAAACACTTCGAACACTCGGAGCGCGAGCATTGAAGATGCCAAGTGAGATTTTGGCGAAACGTCTGCAGGATTCCAGTCGGATGCAAGATTTGCAGGATTCCAGTCGGAGTTCAACGAGCGAACGGATGATATCCCGGAATATAGTGTCATCACATTTTTCCATCCGTGAATCAATATATGAGAATATATATATATATATATATATATATATATATATATATATATATATATATATATATATATATATATATATATATATATATATATATATATATATATATATATATATATATATATATATATATATATATATATATATACATATATATATATAGTTCTATTTGATGCTCAATGAGTTGCAAATAATTATTTCCAGTTAACTTTTGATCTATAAATATTGGACCCAAAATATGCCCATTGATTGGTACCCCTGGGTTTTTATTTTGTGTATTTGTGTAGAATTATTTAAAGACCAATATTGCGTATTTTGTCTATTACAACCATTCTTGTAGTAAATGCACTTTCAACAGTGCATAAAATTATTTTCTCATTACGTCTATTTAAAAAATCCAAACAAAACTACATCCTCCCTTGAAATTGTTCTGCACTTAGTTTTTGAGTTCTACGAAATTTAAATGCATTTTATTTACATTCTTTCAATACTGAGTGGATTTGTCGCTGAGAAATATACTTCATATACTCTAGTAATCGAGGAAGCCGGATGTGCGTCATTGAATCGTAATATGTTTGTCTTATTGTCTTCATTTAAAACATTATGATTTCAGCATAACTTTTTTGAATTTAGTACGATACTGTTTCCAGCCTTGGAAATATCTGTTTTGAAGGAGCTCGGCGCTCTGGATAAAGTCTAATATACTGACGACAAGTTGCGGTTGCACTTTTATTATTCAGAAAGTATACTTGAAGCATATCACTCCTTTCACGGATGCTAAATTCGCGAAAAAACCATTTTAACAATAATTACTTGGACAATAATTCAACCACCAACGTTGTTTACTAATATGTCAAACATAAACATATTTTTATTTGTCAGTCCTTTATAAAAAAAATATGTGCATAAAAAATGCCTATTTTTGCCGATTTGTCAAAAACAAATATATAATATACGTCACTTGGAAAAAAACCTGACTACTAACCCTACATTTTGTTTTTTTGTTTACCTTGATATCTCTGAAAACAAGAAAGTTACAGTCAATTAAAATGTTATCAAGATAAATATAACACACGGTACACTAAAAAAGCCATCAGATTCTATGCTGCATAATATCGAAAAAAAAAACTTCTCTCTGCTTAAGGTCGATTACTGTGAAGTTTACGGGGAATGCCTTGACCGACGTCATTACTAATGCGATGACTGCAGTGTTCACAACAGTCCTTCATCCACTGATAGTTAAAGTAGTAGAAGTCTTCGTCAGATCATCGATAAGCGACATTGTGGAAACAGCGAACAGCATTATATCAAAAATTAGTCAGTAAATGTGTATTTTTTTAAATAAATAAATGTTAGAAGCTTTTTAGAGTCTAATTCTTACCAGGGCTTTAGAGTTCAATTCGATTAATCCATGTTGAAATCAACCAGTATTTCTTAATATAATTAATTTTATTTAATAATCTATATGAGTCTGCAACTCACTGCTTATAATTTAGGTCAAAATTTGTTCAAAGAACAAAGACGTATCAAGGATAAGGCTAGATGACCGCATGCCACATACTGTATATTAAAAACGTCAACCTTAATATGATTTGAAACCTGAATAAATTCTTCCTAAAGATAAAGGTATCGTTTTGATTGCCTCACACGTTGTTTACTATCAGATATAATTAGTAAAAATACAATGTTTTTATATCTGAAAATTTATCATTGATGCAACTTCGTTTTGGCGTTTTGCTACTAGAACATTGTACTCCACTGAATTGAAATGGTAAATAATATTGTGTCGGAAAAGATTTTGTTCAACATGAACAACATAATTTTTTGTCTAATATTTTCCATTGTTCCTTCAACTACATTTGGAGGAAGTAATGAACATTTTTTGCCCCACAATTTATTGAATGGCAATTTAAAAATACCGACTTCGAAAAGTAATTTTTTACTTTTGAAGAACATGTTCGAAGTTATGTATTTCAATGAACTAAGGTAAGACTATTTTATTAAATTCAACTACTATAATAAGATTGTGTTTATTTTAAGGGCGGGCATTATACAGGCCCAAATGAATAATTATACCGATCAAATTCTGGGAAACGTGAAGAAGCTAATAGTTGAGGCCGGATTGGATCCAATGGAATTGTCCCAAGAAGTGCTGGGAGTAAGTAATTGATCTCTCTCTCTCTCTCTCTCTCTCTCTCTCTCTCTCTCTCTCTCTCTCTCTCTCTCTCTTTAGCATTAACAATGATTTACGTTTAAAAATAGTATTTAATTAATCAATTAATTAATCAATTTTCAGTTAGAAAATTTATTTAGCCATCAATTTTTTATTTTGAATTTTTGACATTATAATTTGACACCCCATATGTAGCGGTTATCAATTAAGCAAATCAATATTTTGAAAACCATGTGAAATTTGATTCAAGATCAGTTTAATATTCGAAGAAAAGGTAAAAAAGAAAACAATTAGATACTGTAATGTAAAGTAAATACCGAAAATATCATGAAAACAATTGTAGAATTGCACACCTAATTAATAAGTGATGAGCAGAACAAAGAGGTATTTTCAAAAATATTTTCTCGCTAAACTTTTTTCGACGGCATTTTTTGTTTGGTCTCTGTTTCGCTTGTAATCCATGAGAATTGATAACACAGGTCTACAAAATAAAACATTTTTATTTTGAAAACTGATTTTATATAATTTTGGTATTCTGATTTTAAAAATCACGTAAGGTTTTTTTGCAAAAATTAAAAGAAAAAAACAATTTTTCTAAAATAATTTATTTTTTATTCAGTAAAAAAGTGGAATCTTAGTTAAGATCCTTTTCAGGAATATTTTTGGAATACACTAACCCGTCTTGAGTAAAATATTTACATAACTTTTTTTCGATACTCCGGCAAAAGCTTAATGTGACGCCAGGTACGCCACTAAATGCTTGTCACGAAGTCTGGACGCTAACAATTCGGATGCAATCCTTTGGATGGTGCAAAACCCAAACTAAATCATTTGATTCGCTCTGGTTAAACACTTCGGGCTCTCTGAAATCTGTTGTGAAATCTGAGTCATCTTGGTCGGAATTAGATTCCTCGGATTCTGACGATATGACGTTTTCTAGTTCCTTTGAGGCGGTAGGTATGTACCGGTCTATGAGGAACTGGTCGAATAGCAGAGTCAAGATTTGATAAGCAATTTCTTTTTTATTTGTTCCGTTCTGTTCACTGTGATTCCTGGACTTTCGCCATACCATAGGAACACCAAAGCTTAAACATTTCTTCCTACCTTTTTGTCAGTTTCTTAATGGTTCAACGCAAATGGAACAAATAGTATGAGGAGCCCACGACTTGTCTTGGTTGCCAATTTGTACACCAAAATAAGCGTGGTCTACATTTTTCACAAAAGAAGTTATAGTTTGCATTTGCTTTACTACGACACTACCACAGATACAACAAAAGTTATTTGGATTGTTCACACAATGTCTTTATACGTTCTAGAACACTAGGAAAAAAACGAAGACAACAGTCCCGAACATACCACCATCACGACGACCAATACAACCATACTGCGCATAAGCAGGTTGCAATGCTCTATTGACGCTTCTGCGACAAATCTGTTGCTTTGCAGGGAAATGTAATATTACCCAGTGTTGCCGAATCACATTTAAGTTCATAAAAATCAATTCATTAAAAAATCATGCCTAACACGGAACAAACATTTTTAAGATTAGAGTGTTATAAAAAAAAATGACGTGATAGAGGAAAAATATGGCATTTTTTGGAAAAAGGGCCCCCAAAAATATACCAATATTCAAACATCAAAATCGCTATAGACCTGTGTGGTTTAAATAAGCTAAGGTTTTACCAATTTTCTTTAGTGCGCCGTAAGGACTTTTGCAAATTTTCGGTTATTAATAGCACAATGGAAATCATGGTAAATGGAATAGTTAAATATATTTTTATTAAGAGGATACTAATCTATATATTTTTATATTATTCTTCCATGCACAGCTTCCCCCCCTTGGGTCAGTTACTTTATCTAACGGATGGCTCCAGGAAACCTCCACAATCTCAAGATACAACGATGTGATCATCTCATACAATTCAGAAACAAAAATAATGCAATTAACGTTGCCACTATCTTTTAAAACGCTGTTGGTAAGAACAATAATTTTTTATGCTTAATTCAGGTAGATTAATATATAGTTACTAATTTAGGCAACCTATGATTACCACGCCCAAGCTTTGCTGTTGGGCGTTTCGGGAAAAGTTAACGTTAAAATTACGAATGCCAGAATGGACTTGACTATGGGCTTTAATTTCAAAACATACCATGCTTTTGTGGACAAAGCCGACGTAAGGGACACGGGGTTAGTATACACATACAATAATTCTAAGTGAATATTGAAGGATGAGGTAGGAAATGAGATTTCAGATCTCAATGGTATAGTTTCAGAAGACTGAGGCGTTGAAATTATAAAAATAAGGTTTTAGCTTGATGTCGTTTTTAGAATCAGAGGAGTAAAAACATAACATATAAAAATAACAAGAGCGTTTTGAATGAAGTGTTCTAGTACAAGATTTAAATAGGAACAGGGATACTTTGCTTTACAATGGCAAATGCGAATACACACAGAAAAGACTTCAAAATATTGTTGTTGAAATTAACATTCTCTCAAACCTCGTTGACTAGTATAAGGAGCTTACATTTTTTGTACTTAGGTCGATTAGTCTTCAGTTCACTGGTAATGGTCTCGTGGATTGGTTAATCGACCTTATGAGCGGAGTAATAACCACATTTTTCAAAGGAATAATCCTTACTATTGTCGATCTGGTCATCGCGCACCCGATTCAGGACGCTGTCGGACAAATCAATGACGTCATCGACAGTATATTACACCCGGAGGTACCACCCAATATGGTTTATACTTTATAACTTAAAACACGTCGTGTTGCGTTATTCATATTTTAAGTTTTAAAAAGTATGTGTTGCAAATAATAAAGCATTGTACCAACAAATTCACTGCTTGCCATGTGGGTGTTTCTTGTTTAAAAAAAAATTCTAACTTAGGGCCCATCCTTGCCGACATTGCATTTCGTTTTCATTTGGATCTCTTTTACTTAAGTTAAGTGTTAACGTCAATCAGAAGATTTGTAAACAGTATTACAGCCACCCGTGGAATTTTCCTTGAAAAATATTTGTACCTTTCTTTTCCGTCAGCCATGGTATAATTTTCTGGCAGTGATGTGAAGTTAACCATAATCTTACTTGTTCCTGGTCCTTCAGGTACGAAATACAAAAGCTGTAAATGTACATGGTCGATAACCGAAGAGTTTTATGTGTTTCCAAATAAAGTCAATGTAATTCAAGGTTTGGGTGTTTGGGATTTCGATGAGTGACCCGTGCGCTCGATAAATCACTACACAAATTTCTTGATAAACGATTTTTTTTAATTGATGAAAATAAATTACATTTTCTAAAGAAAACAAAGGACTAACATTCTATAAATTAATTAACATAGCCCGGTAGATGAATGTTGACTCTTAACTCTTTTTCGCGACTTCTTGCCAGAGAGACTCATCGAACTGTATCCAACTATTTTCGCCGGTCTGGATCGGCATCTGATCAAAGCATTCCAGGGGCCGGCGGCCTACGATGGACTCGCGAAGCCGGGTCACTCGCCTACTATGTTGCGTACATAGTACCGAACATTAGGTCTAGTGGAAAAATAGACAAAAGAAATACCTTGAAGAAAGTTTTACTTGGATTTGTATTGTAAGGCACAATGTCCACTATGTCCTCTAAATTATCGATTTTTGGAGTGGATCCTATTAAAATTGGACTTCATCTTCCACAAAACATTTCTACATCATAATTTAAATACAATTATATACATGTGCCATCTTCCACAAATAATTAACACTGACGAAGGTAAAATTATTGTAAAATGTGCCTGCCACCCTTCGAAAGTAGTAGGTGCACAATATAGAATATCTGTTACTGTGGACCTTTATTCGTTGTTGAAATTAATGTAACTCAAATGACTGGAAGTTGCCATTTTGGCCCACATTGGAATTCTCTAAACTGCCGACGCCCTGCAGACGCACACGTGTTTTTTCGTGGTATTTTTATTAACTGGCGGCTGGTAATAGTGAAAACTGGTACATTTAGTGACTGCACCAACTTTCGAATGCACACCGCGAGGTTTTTTTTAATCAGTTAACAACATTTTTGAGATTTTATGGTTATCTTTTACAACTTCAATTAAAATTTTGCAAAAATTTTTATTTCTGCAAAATAAAAAAAACACTTTTTTTGTAATTGTTTTGAAATCTCACTCATTTTTTCCTTCTACTTTAACCGTGTTTTGTGTAAAATTTCCGTTTGCAAGGATATTCCACTCAGGAATTTGAAAAATTATCTTTTAGAAAATACCTTAGTTTCTTATAAACATTAATTAATTAAGAAATTATCAAGTACGCAATATGGCGTCGGCTGCCGACGTCGGGGCGCCTATGACCAAGTAAGTGTTACGTCAAAATGCTTGTTAGGATTTTTTGAATTTGTTAAAATTGTTGAATACATATAAGTAGAATAATATCTCCCTTCTTAGAACAATTTAGAAAAAAAGAATTATTCTCAATTATATAGGTGTTGCTATTGGGAAAATATAAAAAATATTTTAAAAAACGTGTTTTTCTTTTATCTGGTATCCTATCCTCCATCCTCATGTTTTATAATATCAGAAATGTATAGCTCAAATTTCAGTTAAGCAAGTAAGCAACTATTTCATACGGGGGATTTTTCGAAGTCTTGCCAACTGGACGAAACTTAAACTCTATCTTCACTGATTTTTTGAATAGGAACCACCTTGAATCTACTTTATTGCTTTCTGCCATCTGCTACTTTTGTTAAACTTTCCATGTATTCCTGGCGACTCAGGTTTTTCCGTTATATTCGTTTTTATTAGTCATATACAAAAATACGTTAACTTATCGATATAATAATAAATTTGTCTTTATTAAAAATAAAAAAATTGTGATCTAGATGAGCACTGAATATAAAAGCGAAGTATGACAATTATGTTTTTAATATAAGTATGGGTAATATCAAGTGTTTTATATCATTACGACATGAAGTATCTAAAAATTTATAACAAAGTTTTATAATAAGCTTCTCTCATAGGTGTTAATACTTTTCCAAATAACCGACTCAAATATTTTCTTGAATATTTCCAGCCTCTAATTCTACCCACAAGTTGTCAAATTTGGCATAAAACTTTAAAAATTTTAGCAATATGCAATAAATAAAAACCATATAACAGAGGATGTTAAAGATGATTTGTTATTAATCTCCACCTAAAACGCAATATAAAATTCTTATTAGTATTATCAATATTTATAATACTTGAACACTTGTTTTTTATTGCGATAAGGAGGTACTTGGCAGAACAATGTGACAGTTGGCGATAATGCAAATATATCTTAAAATCGAACAACGCAAGGGTTTCGTTTGACAAAAATTCTATTCGCCATGAAGTTGATATTCGCGTTTCTGGCTCTCGTTTCTACTTCTTTGGCCCACATTTTCCCTCTTGATGGAGTTAGGGGAAGTCTTATTTCGCACTTGGACTTGAGGGACGCATTAGAAAAAGTAGTCAAAAAACGAATTTTGTCTGGATTGAAGAATGAACGCCATGATTTCAAAATGCTTGATGGGTGAGTAGATCTCTCAGATAAAATTATCGAAAGCTTATAGGACCAACGTCTTGTTGTTATGAGAATCGAAATCGTAATATACAGTATGTCCAGATAACAATAGACTGTAGTTGTATCTCGGCATGGCGTGTAGTACGCAGGAGCAATAGTTTAAAATTATTTTTTCGAGTGCTATGACGAAATAAAACTTAAATTATGACGAAAAGTGGGACTAAACCACGAAAATAGCGTCAAATAGCTTTAGAAATATTGCGATATTTTTTTTTTCGTATGTTTTAACAGATTTAACAGATTTTAATATTTTGGTGGCATTTGAAAGAGCGGATGGTCATTTAAATAAAATTTGAAACCATTCAGTTTAAAACAACCATCATACATTGTATACAACGAATAAACATCTTTTTTAATTTTTGAAGTAAGTTATACATAAAATGTTATAATGTTTTAGATTTTTAGCACATTTAACAACTTCAATCGGTCAAGTTACTATAGCGGTAAACAAGAAATGTCTTTTAGCCTTTATTAAGTGGTATGGCTCGTTCCAGACTAGTTTTGAAGCCTGTTTAAAGGACATTATAGGTAATAACATAGGTAGCAGTTCTTTTTCCGCAAATAAAACCGACTTAAAGTCTGCACCACATATTATGAGAGTTCTTTTCTGTTTATGATAATTTCATTTATTATCATTTTCTGATGAGGATGGCGCGATACGATTTTTAGAACAGTTGGTTGAATGTTGATATGTTAAAATATAAATATCTTATTACGATAGACAGGAAAAAATATTGTAAAACCACATTGTTTTCTCACATAACATTCATTATATTTTTTTTACAAATTTGGAAATTTGTGACGCAATACTAATTTCATTTTATTTTTGATTCTCATTTATCTTTCTTTCCTTCTCTTTAAAATTTGTTTGCTGAACAAAGAATTCCCATTCAATTTTGCCTCATTTGGTTAGTTTTGGTTTGGTTAGTTTACTTTATTTGCTGCTTGTCACATAATCATTAACCGATTAGGTTAGTGAAACTTACTTCAAATATGAAAAAATTCGTTATTTTTCTGTTTTGATTGGTTCTGAAATTTATATAGTCTAAGATCCGATTCAAGAACAACACCCCTCATTCTTTTCCATGATAAAATATTTTCTTTTAATAATAAAACTTGTTGATTAATCAAATGAGAAATGATTGACAGTCTATATCTTAGCAAGACTATTTTTAATTAAAAATTAATTAATTTCATTTTTTTTCTTGGTTACCGTCAGTATTTTTCTTTATAAATTTAGTTTCAATCAAAGAAAAAAAGTGTATAGAAAATGCCATACAATGTTTGACTACCTTTTTTTAGGCAACAATACGTGTCAACCAGGTGTAAACAGGTAATCGGATGTAGTGATTTACCCTCATCCTTTTTCTTTAAAAATTAAATATGTAAATATACAGAATTTTATTACGAACCCTACGATATATGATTGACTTTACAAGTCGTGGCAAAGCTAATGATTGACACGATCTAAAGTTTCAATCATTTCATGTAAAAATAAAGTGTGACTGCGAGCGCTATATCTTTATTCATGTACGGCAGCGAAGGATGTACAATAACAGCTGCGCATAAGACTCTTGCCAGAAAGAGAAAGGCGTGTGTTTAGTTCTCTGTGTATAAGACAAAGATAAATATATTCCCCCACTTAAAATTATTTTGGAGCCTTTATTTATAAAGAAAAATACCCACGGTAACCAAGAAAAAAAATGAAATTAATTAATTTTTAATTAAAAATAGTGTTGCTAAGATATAGACTGTCAATCATTTCTCATTTGATTAATCAATAAGTTTTATTATTAAAAAAAATTATTTTATCACGGAAAAGAATGATCCGCATCCTCTACTAATACGAGATATTGTTATTATTATTATTATTATAGCGACGATATAGATGTTGCCTATTTGAATGATTTTATGGATGATCTTGTGGCCAATATTGTCATCACCATTGAGACAACCGGCTTAGATAATATAACATTACCGGATCAAGATGATATATCGGTATAATTAAGCTTAAATTGCATATAGATGTCATTTTTAAGGAAATGTTATGCTTGTAGATTGGTGTTGGCAAGCTTAATTTATTAGAAGGTTCCATGAGCGGTTTAAACACCATGACAAGGTACGAAGATGCAACGCTTACGTACAACAGAGATACTAACAAAGTTGCTTTTGAGATGATTCTACGTTTCCAAGAAATTGCTGTAAGTTGATTAGTGAAATATTCTACATTACACTACATACTGCATATAGATAGGTATCCGATGGCCGAGAGTGGTTCAAATCCCATGTTAGTTATTGTAATGCTATATATTTCAATATTATAAAGATCAAAATTTTTTAAATTATATTTTTATAAGTTTTTTTGAATTTTTGCTGTTCTTTATTACTAAAAAACAATCATTTTTACGATAATTGACCTTGACTCGACAGTGATTTGTAAATTTCTTTTGTTTTAATCTCGAAAACTTCTTATATGATAATCATATTATGTATATTATAAAACTCCTTTATATGTTTGGTTAATTGTGGTTAATACATTTCTTTTACTGTGTTGTGTGTCGAGTTGGAATCAAATATATTTGAAGATTTATCCAATTTATAACACTCCGTATATTATGGTAAATCTTAAAATCCATCACTATTAGTGACAAAAGATTTTTTTTTAGTTTATTTACAAGTATCACTCCAAGGTTCTCTTTATTAGTTCTACTGGACATGTTCACGGAACGGTATCAAAGGCAAAAATTCATGTCAAACTTGGATTCGATATGGCTAACTACGCTGCATTCGTGGACACTATTGATTTGAGCAAAACAGGGTAGGCCTAAATTAAAGAAATTTAACTATATAGTAGTATAGTATAGTATATATTATATAGTAGAATCGGAGATTAATGTTGATTTTGTTTTTCAGAACGATCAGCGTTAAATTGTCCGGTAACAGCGGTATCGACTGGTTGACTAATGCTTTTAGCACAATAACCACAACAATTCTGCATCCACTGATACTTAGTATGGTTACGAACGCTGTCAAAGGTCCGATAAATTCATTGGTGGGCAGTATCAATGATGTTATTCAATCAGCGCTAAATCCACAAACATAACCTGGCATTGCCAGATCGTCATGGTTCCAAACCTACAGAAAACTACTAATTCTATATCAGTAATAAAATAAAGTATGTGCGCAGCAAAGCAGCTGTTTTTATTATAACATTCAATATTTATTCAATTATTTATTGATTATCGATCACTCAGCTACAAAAAAAGGAGAAACAAGGAAAAAGGAAACAAATTTTGTTATCATTGTGAGGAACGCAGACTGACACTCTTAGTCCTTCACATAATCAAAAAATAGAATTAGGTTAGGCACGACGACTTTGTGATTTACAAAGCAATCAATTTTTTTTTCCAAGAAAGCTTGTGTAGGCTATTTTAACTTGTATTTATACATACAATACTTACGCGAGCTTTGGACTGTATCCCCGTATTCCAAAAGCATATCAATTTTTTACCCTAATATAACACTTCTCAGAAGAAATTTTCCCATGAATTTTATTTTTTTTAAATACTAAGTTTTTTTTGTCTTTCCACTGCATGATCTTGTCGGGAGTTTTTGCATTTTTAATCTTCCGACTTAACAATTGATAATGAATAGAAGCAAAGCCACATAAGTAATATTTTGTTTTTATAAAAATGTATTCACTATCTGTTTTTTTCCTTCCTGTGAGCTTATTTTTTAACGGATTATGAAAATTTTTGTGTTAAAATGGTGCCATAAAAGTGCCATTAAAAAGTTCTGTTCCCTCTAGGGTGCTATTTCAAAATACTAGGTTAACCTAAACAAATAATAGTTTATTGCATTAAATGCTATTTGCTATTAGACAAGTAAAGAAAAGTTTCATTTACCATTTTTCCCATGATCAGGTGAACCGGTAAATAGTATTTATGATGGTCACAGCCTCCTACACATAAATTTGAAAAATTAAATAAAAATTTGACAAAAAAAAGAGAAAAACCGTCCTAATTACGTAGAATGATCTTCTGAATCCAAAAATTCAAAAAAATATAGGTTGTGCTAGTTAAAATTCCAAAGATACTGTCGTTTCCTCTCAAATCGGAAGAAAAATTGGACATTCAGCCTATATTAACTCTTCCAAATTTCAAATTGCTACATCAAGCCGTTTAAAAGTTATAGAGTGTTCCCACATTCTTGTGTCACCCGGTATATAAAAAAAATAATAAATTTTTCGTGTTGCCACAGGTTACATGCTTGCGAGCTTAATGAGATGTAATAATTTATTTTATTGTTTTGGGGCGCAGTATTAACCTTTTAGTTTTACCATTAGTTATGGCTCTCAAATACCACATATTATTAAAAAAACTTTTTTTTTTTCGAAAACCTCTAATTCTATTGAGAGAAATTTAATAGAAAAAAAACTAACCAAAACTAACCATAATGGGAATGAAAGAAAACATTGAATGCAGGTTCTGCCAAGAGGAGGAAACAGTGACAACACCAATGCCAATGTGAGGGCCTATCGGTTACTATCTCTAGCACTTAACTCGCTCGTTTCTATCGGTTGCACCTAATTTAACCACAGTAAACGAGTTGCAGCAGGAGCCACTGTCGAAACTATAGAGAGAGAGAAACGAATCTAGATAAGGCTCTATAGCTGTGGAGAGACTTTCAATACATTCTTTGGGTGGCAGCGATGGACGGGTCAATTGCTAACGCAACCAAATATTAATCTTAAAATTAGTTTCATCGTGGAAGAATTGACGACACTGGTGTTACCAACACACTCACTAACAACAACAACCAAGAGTTCATGTCTGTGACTGCTTTCATGCTTTCATCATAAATGGTTTTCACTTTTGAAATTGCTAACGGTTCATTTTAAGGAAACGTAACAAGCAATACATATTTGGAAAGCTCGGATATATGACATTGAAAAAAAAATCACTTATCATATCGATTGATTCCAAAGCTGAGTGGAATTTTACCTAATCAATATCACACTACAAATATTAAAATGTTGAAACCTTGAAACAAATTTAGTGGAGTAGTAGATTTTTTGTCTTTCAGCTGTTTGTGATCTGCGTACTAGAATATTTTTTTGCAAACTTCCAGATGCTTAACTTTTTTTTTTCAATCTTAATTGTGAAATATTTGGAGTGGGCAAAACATTTAACGCGAAATGCGCATTTTCAATTACTTCAAGATATGATTGGCAATTCGATAATAAACAGACGTCTACGCTTTGATACTTCATAAAACTCAAAATTTAAGATTTTTACTAAGTCTATTTACGAAAATGATCAAATCAGATAAGTCGGTAACAATATATTGACAAAAAAATCCATTTGGGTATTAGTGCTTTGTCTTAACTACCGAAAAGATGAAAGTTGTTCTTTTACTTTTCGCATGTATTATTACCGCACACGCCGGATATAGAATTCCTGCAAACTCAGCTGATTTCATTAAGGGATTACTCCCTAAATATGTATACGAGTAAGTAGACTTAGCAAATTATAAGTCTGAAATTAAGCGTTGACTAGATACGGTGCGTCCAAGTTCGAAGCATTCACAAACGAATAGAAATATAAATATATTTATCCGATGTTACTTAGAAAGGAGTTTTAATATAAATTCTTTGCATATATCGCACTTTATCCGCTCTATCTGGTGGTGCTAAATATTTATTATAAGTTTTCGTGTCTGTCCGGTCACTAATATTTTCACTTTCGTTGATGCCTGCTGAGCATTATTATTATTTTTCTTTTGCATTGTCATTTTCTTAGATACTCCTGAATATGTTATGTAATGTTTTCAAAAAATAATCAAAGAAATAATAAGAGAAACGAAAGAAGATGGTGGATAGAGTGAACACGTGGGAATGCATTTGAGGAAACGAATTTAAATTTCATTTAAAAATAAAGCTAAGGAAAAAATCGAACGATTTTACTAATTTTTGTTTTTTCATGACATCCCGCGAACTAGTTATAATGTTGTAACTTTCTCTAATTCATCAAACCGCACGATCATCCTGATATAAATTCTTAATGTGAACCCACTGTATATCTAACGATTTGTGTTATGACCTATGTATATTATGTATTTATAACCTTTTCGTCACAGAGCAACAGGTGGAACTACAAATGAAAATTACAAATGTGGTGCGAAATTTTTGATCACAAAAAGATTGAAATTCAAAATAATTTATTTCCATTTAGACTTATGCGACAAGTGACGGATATACATGATGTTGAAACTAAAATTTAATTTTCGAAAAACTACAATAACTTCAAAACGAGTAAAGACGTTAAATAATAAATGTTTGAGAAGGTTTCGAGTGGAAAAGAGTACTTCTACCTATTTACTCTGGATCAACTCCGATGTCACAAGCAAACCATTACACTACTACCAATATATACCCTAAAAAAATGCATTTTACAAAATGTGCCATGAATGTTTCGATGACTACAATCAGTTAATATCTTTACCAGATTTAATATTATTAAAATTTCTCGAAAATTAAGTTTTTCTTTCATGTATCATAACACTTGCCATCAAATTTAATGAGAAAATCTTATTTACTATTTACTTCGGGATTCCTCCTGTTGTTGAGTCGAACTTGCTAACGTTTCGCCAATCATTCTTCAGAGCTTAACTCAAACAGTTTCAGTTAAAGTCTGTTCATAGATATAAGAAAGTGACTAACTGATACGAATTAAGGAAAGACTCGGGCAAACTGTAAGAATGAAATATGGCCGAACAGGTGCTTACTTTGCTTAGAATTTAATTATTTGGGGTTTTGTTAGGAAAGATATTAAACAATATTTATTTATTTATGTACGTATTTATGTTTAAATCTAAAATAAAATTACAAATTATGTTTATTACCTACTTAAATTACTTAAAATTATTCACATCATATATCAGTATCACTATCGCTATCATCGTCTGTTCTAATTTTTATTTGTTCTATATTATTTGCAATATGGATATACGATTCTTCTGCTTTTTCTATATGTTTAACAGAATTTGTCCAACTTTGTTACGACAAATGGCAGATTTCAGTTGGTGCCAAACATATTCAATGGGATTAAATATACAGTGGTACAGTGGCCTTAAAACTGTATGCCCTAGATTTTTTGCATAATTATCACAGACGTATTTCTTTTGTAGGTTCAAGCTTTGTAGAACTTCAATTAATTACTTTTTGGTGTAATCTTCGTGAAAATAAATGTCGTTATTATACATGTAGTTTTGGATTGTTGCTTTTGTGTCACATGAGGAAGGGGTTTTAGTCAACTGTCTACTGTGATAACTTGCATTGTCTATTACGATGACGCTATTAGGAGGAATGTTTGGAACTAGTTTGTTCTTAAACCAACTTTCAAATAAATCAGCGGTGGTGTCTTCATGGTAATCCAGAGAAGCATCTTTAATATTTTTCGCAGACAGAGGAAGTCCATTTGGCATCCAACCATCTTTAGAGCCGGCACGCAAAATAGTTATTCTTTTACGTTTTTTTGATGGCGCGTTTGTTTTACACTTATCAGTTGAGTCAAGCCAATCCTTTTCCTGGGTATCATAAGTGTCAAACCAGGTTTCATCCAAGTAAATAATTGGCCTTTGTTGTTCTCTGTAAATTAAAACTTGCCTTTTGTCACTTTTATAAAATCTAAAACCCATGTGTTGAATACACTTCCATAAGGTTGTTCTGCCACATTTAACACCGGTTTCATCTTTTTCAAGCCTCCTAATTAAGATATCTGATGTAGGTACACTTTGTTCCTCGTATAACTGCTAAATTTTCATCTACATTCGAGAAAATGTCAGCATCGCTTCTTTTTTTCCTCGCAGAAATTATTATTATTCACAATTTTTCATACAGTTGATGTTGGAATTTTCGCCAATGTGGCCGTATGTTCTAAAGATGATTGCTTGTTGGCACCACGTTCAATGAGAGTCAAAAAAACATTGCTTAAAACTTCGTTAGTCTCAATAGAATAGTTTTTCTGCATTTGGGCGTGAGCATCTCCTGAGATACACTAGACTCGCACATATTTTACATAATTCGCACACGATTCAACACACGCTGTATTACACACGAAACAAGAATGATTACTAATAAATCTAAACTAAGTAGTATACCAAACCAAAGAATATTAAACACAGGTAGGTATAAAATTATTTTCTATTACGGACCACAATTTTACCTGTATTTTAATTCCGAAACTTTAGGTAAAAATCTTGTTGCATTGTATGTTAACGACCACCCTTGGATAATCCCATTGAAAAGCAATTGGTCACATCTATTAACACACATAACCTCTGGCAGGGGGAATCCAGAAGTTTTGTAAATAATGTTACAGTTGCCTGTGAAAGTTTCTTTGTAAAATTAATTGGTTTATAATCTCATCTGTTGCCTCACAAAGAATAAATTTTGGAACTCTATAAAAATATTATAAATATAAATCAAATTAAGTCTACTTTCCAAGTCAAGTGTTAGTCAATGGAGGGGAAGACTATTGAAACCATTAAAATATTAAAAACAATAAATAATTCCATTTTCGGTTCTATTTCAGTTCGAAATCTCTTACGGCTTCGTTGTTGACTGCCTTGGTCAATAATGCTGCTGACAAATTATTTGATAACATAGGAGTGTATGCTCTTAGCAACGGGCTAGATCCTATCGCTCTGGCTGACGTTGACCAAACTGTAAGTTGTTTGTCGTTGTTTTCGTTCTTTTTTATTCTCTTTACAATTTTCAAACGACATAACTTTTGTTTTCAGCTCCTTGGTAGTGGAGTTAGACTGACTGAGGGTTCGTTTAGTGGTGTGTCCAGTTTTGCAAGAAATGGAAATGTTTCAGTAACTTATTCACCCGATACTAAAGTGCTGACTCTGAGTCTGCCGATTAAATTCGACAAGCTATCCGTAAGATTATTTTTAAATTCTAAAACAAATTTTTGGCTATTTACAATTTATTCATCCATTCATATATCTATTTAAATTTAAACTATAATATGAGATATAATTTCAAGGGAAAATATAAAAACAAGTGTTTCAATACATGAGAATGAGACTATCTCTTCTATCAAATATTCAGGTCTTTATTCGTTCACGCCAGTTATGCATTTGAAATGAAAATTTCGCAGTCAACGGTCATTTGACATGACATTATAATTGAGCGAACAATTTTACTACAGGGTGGTGCTTTGTATTTTGCATGTGTAGGTGCTATGTACTTGTAGTTTAAATACACCAATTTTAAGGTTTTATTTCTATTATCTTTTGGCACGGTGAAAATCAGAAAACGACCACTGGGTGCAATAGTGGCACATCCACAAAATAATGGTTATAAGAAAATCAGTGGTTTAGGAAAATAAAAACTGAAATATTGAGATAACTCATATCAACTCTTCTACTGATTACAAAATTTAGAGTGATATGTCATTTAATTACATATTGATTTGTATTATTCTCTTTTTAAAACAAAAAATATTGATATTAACTAAAAATAGCTATTTTTTGATATGTGCCATTATTGCACGCAGTGAGTGATATGAACCTTAGAATATGTTGTTTTGACACTTAAAGATAATTGAGAAGAACTACTAATAAACCATCTAGATAGAGTGTAAAATACAAAGCTTCGGCTCATCGGCATGGATGATAAAAAATTGCATTCTCGCTTATTGAATGTTCAAATAGTCAATTAATCTAATATTCAACTTCTAGTTCTCCTATAAATACAAAGTTAGCGTGGTCTTGATATCGTACAATGGTGTGATAACAGGCACTATATCGGATGTCAGAGTAGATGTTGCTGTATCGTTCGACTTTAACACATACAAAGCCAAAGTTGAGTCGCTGAAAATGACAAACACCGGGTAAGTTATTTTTAAAGCGAAACAAAAACTTTCTTTTTTTCTGTATTTTTTTTAACAAAGGCAAATTTTAAAAAAGACCTGTACTACCTTTTTTTGTAGGCTACCGAAAATATATTTAGAAATGCACTAAAGTTGATTTTTGCTACTATTACGTAGAAAATATGGAGTCTAGTTACTATTTAAAGAATCGAATGATCAATTTATACAAGAAGAAAAGAAGTGAGGATTTCAATGCGGTCAACTAGGCTTTAATGAACTTTTTTCGTTTTATTCCTCTACGAAATTCTGAATTGCCTGCTAAAACGAAAAGTTTCATTATTTACAGTTACTTTGCCAATATAATATAGAAATCTCAGAGCTGAAAATCTTTCAAAGTGTTGTTACTATTTGTTAAATCAGATTGTGTTAAAATTATTATTCACTAAAGTGTACGAGTTACGAGTTACTTTACGAGAACTTTATTATTACTGTGTAATTTTAAAATCGGGCATTTTTGGCAAAAGAAAAATTATGTTTGATATTATTCTACTGCCTTGTATTACTCTGTTATTAGGATATACATATACTTGCTTTTATATTTAAATTTTCCGTTAATCAGCTAGATTGTTTTCGTTTCTTGTGAGCCGACTTACTCAATTTACAATTCCACATTCATTTCTTTAATTTATTATATATTTGCGGGTGTATCTATCTCACTTCATTTATGTAATGACTCCAATTTGAGTGGCGTTAAACTCGTTTTTTTTCTTAAGAATAAAAAGGAGAAACGACTTTTAATTACACTCTTCTCCAAATTTGATTCCGCCACTTTTAACTTTGCTTTTAAAGATTAATATCTTGGTTTTGATTATTTCAGTAAAATAGATGTCACATTTGATTCGGGAATCACAGGCGTCGTAATAAATATCCTCAGCGAATTGGTAACTACGGTTTTGCACCCACTTCTGGTACAAATTATTCAAAGTACTGTATTCGGCGTCGTCAACGATGTTGTTGACAGTGTCAACGACGCCATTGATGGAATATTTACTCCACCAAGCGAAGTCCCTCCATCGTTGCTTTTTTATAAATAGTTTCATTGGGCTTTGGTAACTGAATAAAACTGAATTAATTATTAAAACTTGGGTTTTATTCATAATATACACATGGTTTTTACACTACAAAAATTATGTCTATCTAGCGTACACTGTTACATTAAATTCGATTCCGTGGCCTGTAAACGAGTGCATCTCCAACGTCACGAAGGTGTAATTGACACCTCCGTATTTTACGAACACCGTTCCCCCTTTCTGTTGATTCTTTAGATTGATGGCCTTGAGGCAGAAAATTTTTCTGTTGCCGCTCCACGATGACTAGGAGAAAAAATCTGGTTAAAGAGTAGGTCTTCATGATACAAGAGGGTACAAAAATTCTTATTGTAAATTGAAATATTTCAACAACCGAGCAAAAGATGAAAAATAAACCATCCGGTTTAAATTTTTTCCCCAAATCAATATTGTCAACGACTGATACAATTTTTACCAAATATTTTTAGTTAGATATTTGAAATATTTTATTTTATTATTCAAAATGCGCCTCGTATTACGAGCTACTCCCCTCTCCGTCGAGAAAAATGTCTGTGAAAACTTAAAACAGGTTAATAGGCTTTGCTAATAGTGAGAATTTTTTTTATTTGACTGAATTATAATACATAGCATGTTTACCACACGCCTATACGTACATATACACATAAGATTAGATAAAGTCTACAATAATAATTGGTATAACAACGTAATACATAACACATAAAAACAAACAGGAATAGAAATGAAAAAAAAAAGGAAGATACCGCATCATCAAGAATCGAGTTTTAAAATTTTTAAATAGCAACTTTGTCACTTGATTTGGATTTAAGTTGTATAAACTTAGGTCAAGAGAATTTTTCATGCTTTTGGTGTATTTAAACGTCCTAGTTCGAAGCAAATTTATTTGAGGAGGAAGTGTATTTATGACTATCTGTGTGAAGTGAAAACATATTTTTTGAGTTATGAATTTCTAATACCGTGTAATGGCAGTGGCATAACCCCAAGATTCTGGAACAGCGGTTGACAATGGTCTCTATATCGTGCGTTGGATATAATTCTGATCGCTCTTTTTTGCATACAAAAAATTTTTATGGAATCTATTGACAAAATTCAATAAAAAAGAGCATAGTGGCACTAGACTAGGTAATCACTAGATAATCCTTCACGAATAAAATTTTAAATCGTCGTGACAAAAAGGTGACATTTGAGAGGCACTTTATTAAATAAGCAATATGGTCTTTCCAAGAAAGCCTATCATCCAGGACCACAACTAACAACTTCGCCGAAATATGAATTAAATTTTAGACGATTCTGTTTCCCCTTTAACAATTTCTATACTCGATTTTGATGTTTTAAACGTTGCAAACTTAACCGCAGCCACAGGGTCCATATTCCCAGAGAGATCATTAATATAAACTAAAAACAATAATGGACCCATAATGGAACCCTGTGGAACTCCGTGTATTACATTTCGTAAACTTCACATTTGATTACTGCAAAAAACTGCTTGCTTTCTATTAGGGAGATAAGAGGATAATTTTTCTGGCGCAACCGTAAGCTCCAAACCGTTAAATTCCAGAAGAAAGATTGTATCTCTGATAATTTGACTTAAAAGGAAACGGACATAGAACAATCAAATAGAACATAAAATTGAAACCGAATAAATAAATATTTACAAAACGAGATATATGAAAAATCTGATGCAATTTGCATAATCCATTAAACAAATAAGATAGTGTTAGTTTAGTCAAATATGTAAAATAAGTACCTAGAAAATGGCTTGGAGTAACTGGGTTATTTGACAGATTTCTATCCGCTCTTAGTAAGTTGAAGGATTTTTCGTAACATGTTGCCGAATAAAGTTCAGTCAGTCACGTGTGAGGTATGGAATTATTTTTTGGGGAGGTAGTGGCCAAGTACAGAGAATTTTCATGGCTCGAAACAGGACTCTTCGTACGTCTAAAACAATGCAATTTAGAGAGAGCTGCAGATGAGTGTTCAATGCCGAAGGTATTTTCACAGTCTACGCTTATTATATTTATGAAGCAATGATAATAAAAAAGATTTCGAGTTGCAGATATTTCACTGATATAGTACCAGAACATTGAATGTAAATTACCGGAGTCCCTGTTACATGTGCCTGAGATTGTACAATAAATTACCAAATAATGTAAAAGCAATTGCAAATCTAAAAGTCTTTAAGTGCACTATAAAAAAGTTACTAAGAGATGTAGAACATTACTCTCTAGAAGACTTTTTTCTGTAGTCTTTAATTACTGATTAATTAAAACATTGTAGGTAATTGAAAAGTGTAATGGAATCTAGTATCTTCTACTTTTTTACGCTGATTTCCTTTGTGTTTGATATGCTATTTTTATGTAATGCATTTGTAATACAATGTGAAATAAAGTTTATTATTGTTTTAAACTTTGAATTCATACTTAGTGCTTTGTACAAGGCGTCCGTTTTTAATTTAAATAGAATGCTATAGTATGTTCTATAAAATTCACGGAATCTTGTAGGTTTAATGAGACTATACATTGATTTATTTATATGATTAATGAAATTAATATTATTAACAGTAAATTTGTTGAAATCGTTTAATTTTCTATGTGGATACTAAAAAAAAAACGTGTTCGTGAAGCAAATATTAAAACATATTAAATAAGCGATTTTGAAAGCTCTATAAAATGGGGTGGCTGCAAAATAATTCTTTGTTCTATTGTTCTTAATTTTTTATTTAATTTCTGATTGAATTTTTTTCTAATGCAAAAAATTTAAATAACTTATAAAATGAAATATTATTGTGACCAGTAGTACTGAAGCCTAAATGGTCTTTACGAAATACTTTTTGGTGAAAAATTGGTGAATCTGATTTGAGTATTGAAATTTTTTGGCAAAGTACTGTCGTGGATAATGTTTTCACTAGTTAACTAATGAATGTTCTAGAGCAATTCGAGTGTTCGATAAGGGCATCCCAGACCACAGGTCCCCTTCGAGATTTCAATATCCGAATCGACGAATCCTGGTTATGAAAAGGAATCTCTAGGAAACTACAAATTGGCCACCATAGTCATTATGGAGACAAAAAAGAAAGGTACAGGAAATAAGAATATAAATAACTTTCGTCCATGGGCGGGAATCATAAAGCATAATAGAACAAGTGCTGGTGTATTTCTTTTGATCTACAGGAGTTGGACAAAGTGCCTGACAGGCTACCAGTGAGAGAATATTGATATATGAAAGCAGCCACGGATTTCAATGGAATAATACAAAAATGTTATCCCTAATATGTAGAAAGTTATTCAAACACAAACATAAAGGTAATAATTTGATCAATCTTGGGAAAACATTCTAAGCAATATAGCGTTACTATCCCTGCATATTGCCCCCTTTATATAGAAACAATTTAATTGAACTGGACCAAAGCCATTTTTTATATGTCATTTACTTCAATAGCGACCAAAGTATTTTATTTAAATTGTTTTTCAAATTTAATAATCACTATAATACTCGACTGTGCAAAATTATTAAAAAATAATAATTATTTAAAAAAATCATAATAAAATTCATACTCACAGTGGCATTCCTGGTGATGAAAGGATAACTTGTCTTATGAATGTAATCTCGAAATACTACAAAGTTCTCACTTGAATTAGTACAATTTCCCGATACTATTTGGTACGATTCATTACTGGCGTATAAATCGTAATTTTCCTCAAATTTGTAGGAGTCTGATGATGAGGTCAATCCTGCGAAAACTGCCAATGTACCAATTAATAAAATTAGTATACGTTTCATTTGGGAGCTGGTGGTTCACGTTATTTTTGGTGCTAGTATAGGTTTCTGTGCAAGTCGACACCAGAACTACATATTCTATTTATATATAAAATTAATTTTTTTATCTCGTTTTCCAGCTAATAGTCAACAATATTTTCTGAAACCCTTACGATAAGACTTCCAAATAAAATGATTTGGTTGACATTTCTCATAAATGGTGATAAAATATATTGTCATTGCCAACGTTTAAATATAGTGAACTCGTTCTACGAACCAGGTGTTTTGGGACGCCAGTTTCTTTTAAAATTGTGCATCTGACAGAGTGATCACAAATGCGAAATCGCCATGTGATTACTTTAAATATTAGGTTTTAGTGTCATTTATCGTATTCTTGGTATTAAAGACCTAGGAATTTTTGGTCCACTGCAACCATTATAATGACTCATTGCACGTAAGATTGCATTTTTACTCAAGTGAAGTAGAATAGAGGTGTTTTGTCATCAACAACTAATAATCAATCAGGAACTTTTATTGATACCGAGAAATAAATATTTACCAAATTTTTCCAGCTAATTTTCTAAGTAAATACTAATAGGAATTAGTATATATACATGTACTTTTGCACGATAGATGCTGTTTTAGTACACAAAAGTAGGAAGAAAAAGGCTAATATTTCGAAATGTATTGCTTGGCAATTTTCTTTGTTGCGATTTTGTCTGTATACTGCAATCCGACTGTATCACCCGAAGAAAAACTTACTCTTACCGCAGCTAGGCAGGAAATCATAGACGGAAACTGTACGAATTTGAGCGATGTTAATTTGGTAATGAGCGATCATGTTAAAAAAGCTGCGATACCTTTCATCGTCAGGGACGGTAAGGTAAGTTTTTGAAGCGGCAGAGTACCGTAAAATTTTCGTTTACAAATTGTCTCCTCTACTGTTAGTAATCCTTTTTAGACATCATGGTATGGAGACCAGAAAATTTTTTGTCTGAAGGTGGTAAATTACCACGATGATGGAACTGTCGAGGTTACAGAAGGAGGAGTGAACCATTCCTATGTGACCATCGAAATGCATTCGGCAAGGAGTCACGCGCTTGAATTTCTGGTTTCTATATATGCCAAATAGATGTTAACTCATATCCCTTGGTACAATGCAGGAAATTTAATAATAATAAAGTCAGGACTGCACCTATAATTGTCTTAACCACACCTAGTCACGATTTACTTTATGCAAATCATACAGGATGTTTTACGCTTGATGGAGACCTGGAAGTAGAAATTCGCTAAAAATTTAGTCCCGTGGGTTTTTAAGTCTCCTTTATATATTCAAAAGATTTTCAGAGTCACAGTGTTGCTCCTTATATCGAAAAGTAGTAACAAGTTTGTTTTATCTCTGCATTGTCAGTCTGTCTACTTATATCTATCTCTAGAAGTTTTGCAGATTATGATTATTTTATTATTTCATTGCAAATTGCAGTAAAAATTTCTTTTTAAATATTCAACTAACCCGGCAATAAGAATTTACATTGGGGTCTATTTCAGCTGAAAAATATATAAAATAATTAATATCTGGAAAACTGGAACTGGAAAAATAAAATAACATACAGGTTGTTCCGTTGATAAAAAATAAAAGCTTTTGCTACGTTTCGATATAAAAGGCAACACTGGGGTACTGAATATATGTAAGTCGGTTCTGTTCGCCAAAAACGTCTAATGTTCCATCAACTGTGAGATAACCTCTATTACACAAAACTTTTATAGACGTATTCTGGAAATTATATTTGAGCTCCTTACATAACTGCAAGGATGAAAAAGATCATAAAATGAAATATTTTCCAAAAAGTCTTTTGTTAAAATGAGCCAATCGAATCAAAAATATGATCAAATTTTCGAAAGAACAATAAAATACTGAATCAGTTAACGGAAGGACTAAACAACTAGCGTTATGGTGCTATCCTTTTCCAACAGTAAGTTACGGAAGTGCAACTTCAGTCAAATCACCATCTGTATATCTATATATTAATAGAAGGAAAATGACAATCTTTTTTTCCTTGCGCATCCGCCCTTTCACGTACTTATAATATAAAAATTACATTTTACATTTGAAGTGGATTGTAATCAATATCTTGGGTCGCCACTTCCGTACGTAAAATGAAATTTAATATGTATGTATATTAAGAGTGCATGTAATATAAATTCACTTTGAAAACTTCATGGTACCCGCAGCATAAATGTTTTTGAGAAATAATATATATTACATTTTTTTTGTTCATAACATTTTTCCTGCTAAATGATATGGCGATAAGGTAATATTCCATGTATGTAATATACCCCTTATAAATTTTTATGTTAAAACTTGAGAAATTCGATATTGAAGGTGTTACAAAAAAATATGTACTATATTTAAGGCCATATCCCTGCATTAGTTTTTAAAAATTTATTTTTAATTTTTTTTTACTAATCATTTCAAACATTCTTTTTTATACTTCCTTCTCTAAAATTCTAAAATACTTAACTATACACTGATCTAGCGTGCGAAAAGTATCATTTTACCAAGTTAGTTATTGTGAATTCTGACTTGCACTTGTCAGTCTGTCTATATCTATCTCTAGTAGTTTTGCAGATTATGATTATTTTAATATTTCATTGCAAATTGCAGTTAAAATTTCTTTCTAAATATTCAACTAACCCAGCGATAAGAATTTACATTGGGGTCTATTTCAGCTGAAAAATATAGAAAATAATTAATACCTGGAAAACTGGAACTGGAAAAATAAAATAACATACAGGTTGTTCCGTTGATAAAAAATAAAAGTGTTTGCTACGTTTCGATATAAAAGGCAACAGTGGGGTACTGAATATACGTAAGTCGGTTCTATTTTCCAAAAACGTCTAATGTTCCATCAACTGTGAGACACCCTCTACTACACAAAATAGACGTATTCTGGAAATTATATTTGAGCTCCTTACATAACTGCAAGGATGAAAAAGATCATAAAATAAAATATTTTCCAAAAAGTTGTTGTTAAAATGAGCCAATCGGATCAAAAATATGATCAAATTTTCGAAAGAACAATAAAATACTGAATCAGTTAACGGAAGGACTAAACAACTAACGTTATAGTGCTATCCTTTTCCAACAGTAAGTTCAGGTAAGTGTAACTTCAGTCAAATCAACATCTATATAAGGATAAAAATAGCCAATAGGAACTTGGTACCCAACTTTAGACGCAATAATGCTAACTCTAGACAAACTTTTAACTTGGTTCAATGGAAAAGCCTATGACGCTTATAATTAATTTACGGCTCTAGATCGCAAAAAATCGGTTTTAATTAGGTACATATACACTCAAGAACTGAACAAAATGGATACTTTGATACTTATAATTTTAACTACTGAGTCATTAGGATGGCGACTTTCTAAGGATATCTCAATGGGTTTATGGGCTTTGAAAACTTACAAAACGTTTAGGAGGCAGGCATTGGGCGAATGATCCTGGTAGTCGTGCCCAACAGTTTTCTGTGAAACGCAATGAATTGAGGCAGGCATGTTATATCGTCTACCATTTGTCCTACATTTATAAAGAAGAAGCCGAGTAGTTGGTCTCTATGGATATTTGCACCTGAATATTCGCGTATGATGGATTATGATCATTAGTTGAGCAGTTTTCATTTTGGCGCCTGCATAGCTACACGGTTACTGCACAAAAACCAAAGTAAGTTTTGGATAATACTATAATGCCTTGTGTTTATTAGTTACAAGGAAGAATCACCTCCTAACCTTGTTTTATATGAGGAATATACTCAATTATTTGTGTATAAAACAATGCAGTAGGGCAACAGTAGTAAATAAAAGTCCTTCTTTTATCCACTGTTAACTTTGGTATAAAAATAGTATGTTCAGTCGAAAAGATCAAATAAAACGTAAAACGGGGGAACATGGAATAGGGCGATACGAATTTCTAAAACAGTTGGTTAATGAATTTGCTGCAACGAAGAGCTTTGGTTAGTTACTATTTAGCGTTTTGTTTGTTTCCTGTTAGTTAACTAGTTATCGAGAAGGTCGTTAGGTTCTTATATTTTTTATTTTATGACGTTGAATGTGTGTTGTTACCTAAGCTGAATGATGTTTATGCTTTTTTTAAATTTCAGAGGCTCAAAGACAAACACTTGCCAACCTCGCAAATTTTGCCTATGATCCTGTAAATTATGAATACATTAAACAACTTCATATAGTGGATCTATTTTTGGCACAACTCTCTGAAAATTCTGAAGAGCTCATACATTTCGCCCTAGCAGGATTGTGCAATATAATATGTGGTAAGAACTGTTATTAGTTATAGTTTCTATCATACCTATAATTTCCGGTTTTAGATCCGGAAAGCAGAGAATACATCATTTCACTTAATGGAGTATATTTAATTTCAAAGTATTTGCTCCATGAGAATGAGGACATTGCTTTGAATTCAATTACAACCTTGTTTTATCTTTTTGAATCAAAAACGGTAAAAATTCCTGAAAGTTTGTTACCACGAATTCAGCAGTATGTAAATAATGCTAATATCAGATACCACAATCTAGGAAAAATTTTTGTGGATACATACTACCCTTCAGATGTAATGGCTGATTTACAATGATGTTTTATAGATTGATGATAAGGTCCTTATCTTGCAAAACTGTTGTTCTGGGACAAGAAGCCTGTCTCACCAAAACAATAACGCTTAGAGATGTACAAAAGTTTGTAGATATAAGCGGTGACTCAAATCCTATACATTTGGCAACAAATGGAAATAGAGTAGTGGTACATGGTGCTTTTCTAAATGCGATCATTTCGAGAGTCATTGGGACCAAATTGCCTGGCCCTGGAACACTGGTGGTCAGGCAGAATCTAAATTTTCCCAATAAATGTTATGTTGGTGACACAATTGAAGCTTCTGTTCGTGTGGAGGATATTAGGAAGATAATTAAAGTAAGTTTTAAGTGCCAGGTCAAAACAGAAAGTAAAGTTGTGCTCTATGGAGATGCATATTTAGTGAGAGATAAAAGTTAACTGTGTGTACATATATTTGTTGTTTGTTTTTGTGTTTACTACTTGCCTTTTAATAAAGAAAAGGGTGTGAATTCCTTTGGAATTCATAAACGTTGGTTATGGAACAACCCATTTTGGCTTAGATACATTATTATTAAACTGTACTTACATTCAACACTTGATAGGACATGAGAGCAGAAGCAATAAAAAGCTTTGGATAATTTGTAAATCTAGAGAATAATTCGCATTTTGCTATGAGGCATGGCGACCGCAAATGTTTCAGTTTTCAGTAAAATTCCATGTGGAAGTTTTTTCATGTTTCATTAATAATAGAATACGCGTTTAATACAGATTTAATAAAAGGAAAATAATATCTTTTTTCCTTGCGCATCCGCCCTTTCACGTACTTATAATATAAAAATTTCATTTTACATTTGATCATCAATATCGTGGGTCCTTGCGCATTCGCCATTTCCGTACTTAAACTGAAATTTAATATGTATGTATATCAAGGGTGCGTGTAATACAAATTCACTTTGAAAACTTCATAGTACCCGCAGCATAAATGTTTTTGAGAAATAATATATATTATAATTTTTTTGTTCATAACATTTTTCCTGCTAAATGATATTGCGCTAAGGTAATATTCCATGTATGTAATATACCCCTTATAAATTTTTATGTTAAAATTTGAGAAATTCGAAGGTGTGAATTCTGACGGACACTTCAGCGAATGTATTCGTTTCACTCTACAAAAATGTAGCTAAAAACTAAAGGTCCTAAGAAAAGTATAGTATGCAACGTGTTTGGTAAGCTTTGTAGGTTTATTAAGCACTCGCTCCGCTACGCTCCGCTCCTGCCAATTAAACTCGTGCTTCAAATGCCGTTTACCACACTTGTTGCATAATACAATATACTATGGTCGTTATTGTTGAAAATTATTTGTAGTAGTAAAGTTGTTCTAGTAGCTCCTTATTTCAGCCCGAAGTTGATTAGCATCATTAAGTTCAGAAATAACCTGCGGGCAATTCGTTTAAAGGTTAATGGAGTTAAAAAATCCAATTACCAAAACTTATTAAAATTAATATGTTTAACCTTTCGTAAGAGCTCAATTTCTACCCCATTTTAGATTTAGAAAAAGTGTGTTAATTGGTGCCGTAGAAGATTGTCAACGTGGCTACTTCGCTTCAAAGATTTTTTTCAATCTTTTACTATGATACTTGTCGAAATACCCTGTATATTTTCTATGGTGTCCTTGCAACAGAAGTTCCGCCATGAGTGGGTCAACCCCGACTAATTTCTCACTTTTCTTTTCGTTTAACCCGGCCAGGCGGCCCCCAAAGTTTTTACTATGATACTTGTCGAAATACCCTGTATATTTTCTATGGTGTACCTGTAAGACAAGTTCCGCCATGAGTGGGTCAACCCCGACTAATTTCTCACTTTTCTTTTCGTTTAACCCGGCCAGACGGCCCCCAAAGTTTTTACGCACGTCCATTTTATCGGACCACGATCACAAAGTAATTTGTGAGGCTTCGGTCCGCTGTCTGGACATCGTCTACGGACCGTGCATTTAATGAAGGGATGGGGTTGATTCCTTTATGTAAAGATATACGCTTCAGAAATCACAATAAGTTACGGTCGTTGAATAGACGCGACGGGATGGTGTACAACCTTTTTCTCTTGTTTGATACACGCAATACGAACTTTAATACTGTAGGCACTCCGTTATGGGCCTATCAAAACGGGGCTGAATAAAATAAATGTCGTTCCGTTTGTTTATACATGGTTAATAAATTAAATTATTATTTTCTACTCCCTATTCTAAAATTCACTGGTAATCAGGTTTGTGGTAAGTGTTACTTTAAAATATCACTTTTGGCATTTCTAATACTATAGTCACGGGTTTGGGAACAGACGGATGTTTTCAGTAGATTATTACGCACTCAGTGAGTGTATTCGTGCTGTTTTGCAAAAATTTCACACTTTTATGAACTTCTTCAGGTACTCATTTATTAAAAACTCGCTCAGTTGCGCTCCGCTAGTGCCAAAACAAATTAATTAGAAAAGTGTCGTTTGTCGTTTACTTATTGCTTAGAGTATTTTTACAACACAATTTTAAAAAAGTACTTTAATAAACGAGAAGTTCATATTTACAAAATGCATGTAAAATATATTTTATAAATCTAGTTTTACAATGATTGATGCAAGAACTGTCTAGGCCTATTTAAATTTACCCTCAAATTAAACGCCATTCCAATAGGCTGAGATAATATGTCATGGCAGAACACAAAAGGATTGCTTTTAAGTGTATATGTGTGTATGTGAAAGTGCTGCATAAAACTTTATACATTCATATAACTTAAATTTGACTCGATCGTGTAATTACATTATTAAAAACTATGTTTACACTTTATCATCTTTTATCTATATTTAATGTAATAATGCACTTGTAGAGGTAAATTTACATTTTGAAATTTCTCATGAGTATCTGTAATTACTGTAGAGGTAAATTTACATTTTGAAATCTCTCATGAGTATGTGTAATTACTTTCTTCAGACAAGATATGATTTTGCACATAATTGTGGGTCATACAAGTGGCAAATAATCTATCGTGTTGTTGTATATTTTACTGTTCTGGTGCAATAACACTTGACAGTAAATATTAATAATTATAATAGCCGGTGCCTACTTACTTTAGGTGACAAATTGACAACAGTTACGCATTCAGTTATGAATTAAAGTTGAAAAAGACGCTGTAAATAATAACATTAAAACACGTATAAGCATTATATTGCTGAAGTACAATCGCAAATTGATAAACTTCTCTTCAGTCTTATACTTACTAGATAAACTGTATAGAGAGAGCCCAGCCACATCCGTAAAAACATCAACAAATTCTCGGTAGGTCCTCAGGATATTCTTCAAGTGAATTGCGCTAGACGTTTTAAATCTCTCTTTCATTTTAACAGTTCTTCAGTCACTTGTTTCGTTGCGCTCCGCTCATGTCATATCCAACTCGTGACTAAAATTGCTTTTATTAAAATTCTTGCTATTAGCAAACGCGCATCTTTAAAGAGGCAATGTTGACTTGGAAGATCCGATGAAGGCTTTGGAGCTCAGTTTGCCGAGATATTGAACATTTAAATGTTTAGTATTTCCCACGTTCTATTTTCATTATTATGATAAAAATAATGTTTCTGATGGTATTAAAAAATGTGTAAATTAATAATTTAAATAAATAGACAAAAATATTTTGTGTAATCAAGTTTTTCTAAATTAACTAAAATTTGTATTGTTTTAGGAATTTCCTTAAATATTAATTGCGTTCGCAGTTAGACAATATAACAAAAAGTCGGATTTACCATAAAATTCGATTATTTTGTGGTTTAAATTGGTAAACACGTAATTGTTTTTAGCATTTGTTCAACGGCGCAAAACTGATTTTAATTGGGTTTTCCAAAACAAACCGATACACGTTAACAAGTACCAAAACTATTTGCTACATGCGGACACGCTTTATTTGCATTTTCTGTTATGAAAGTTAATCATTAGCTAATGTTTCAACTTTTTGATTTTTTTTCAATTTGTCATTTTGCGTTTGTTAAATTTTGTCATGGTGTTAAAGCGCCGTTGAGTAAGCCCATTGGAAATAACACAATTCTGATGGTCACCTTTAGGGTCACGCCGCCGTTAAACTTTCTCAAGTTTAAATTTAGAAACCGAATAAAAAAAAAGCACCATATGGGTTTTAATTGTTTTTTAACCTCTCTTAACAGAATATTTTCGCTTTTGGTTCTTTTGAACTATCGAGAAATTAAATTAAAATATAATTGCAAAGTTATTTGCGAGCATCGCTACCCTGTAAGCTTCCATTGTCGTTCTTCTATAAACATTCATTTTATTCCAAAAGCATACAATATAGAAAAATTGTTTTAGTGTAGCATACATTTTAAAAATAATTTCAATTATAGAGAGTGCCGATGAATAAATATATAAAATTCTAAATGGTACCACGTATATTTTGGCTTATTATTTCTCCAAGAGAGATTTGTATTTTTTTTAAATTTTATTGTGAGGTAGCCAATTTATTGGCAAAAAGAGAAAATATTAAAAAAACTGCTTTCCTATTATTTTCTACTATCTTTCCATTCGCGGCCTTTATAATATCAGGAATTGACCTAAATATAGTCATATGTTGTTGAGGATCCGGTAAAAAAGTCTTATCGACTTGGCGAACTTTAAACTAATTTTGTAAACGGACAATGAGGTTTTAACTACTTTATCGTTTTCAGCTATTACCCCTACATCACTTTTCTTAAAATATAATTTACTCTATTTAATATCATTACTAGACATGTTCTTTTAGTTGTTCGTTAATAGATATATGGAAAATATATCACAAAAACATGTAGGGTGGCGCAATAGTAAGGTAAATTACTATAATTCACTTATTTACCATTGCATTTAGGTCACGAGTTTATTTGGTACGAGCGGAAAGCAGCGGAGCGAGTGTTTAATGAACGAGTAAGTTAAAAAGTTTACCAAACGTGTTGCATACTATACTCTCTCTACGATCGTTAGTTTTCGGGTACATTTTTTTTTGTAAAACAACATGAATACATTCACTGACATGACCGTCAGAAATGACAAACGTCAGAATTCAAGCCGTGCGGTAAAATCTCCGGAATTGTCCGAAGGCGCTCGGATCCGTGGGACAAGAAACTCGCATGGTGAAATGACGCTTTCGACACCCTAGATCGCTGTATAATTTTACAGAAGGGAGAAAAAAACATTTTTGTTGTGAAAAATAGAAAAAAAAATTCTTATGATCTGTTATTCTGCTGGATTTATATATATATATATATATATATATATATATATATATATATATATATATATATATATATATATATATATATATATATATATATATATATATATATATATTTAAAGGGGTTTTCCAAATCCTTGCCTATTTTTTTTAATTATTCATATACATGAATGCGGTTACTTATTACCGGTACATACGATAAGTCCACCTAATATGTTAGTAACTTGATTAAAATTAATAATAGGAAAAAATCTTTAAATGATAAATAAGGAAGATATACACACACTGTGCTCTCCCCTATTTGTATAGCCGCTTAAACTGTTTAATTCCTGTAATCCTGTACATATTTTCAAATAGCCTGCTACTTTAATAAATTAATTGTAGTGATTTGAGGAACCCTTCAAGAGAAAATAATATGTTTTATAGTATTTTAAATTTCATTAATAATTAATTTAATAAAACCATTTAGAATGTTATTTTGGTAAAACACTTAACCATAATTAAAAGCATAACTAGTAATAACTGGTCAACTTTGACGATGTCTCAATGTCAGATTCGCGGGTTTCCCAGTTAAATTCTAAATTTAATCATGACTTTGGAAAGTTACATTCAAATT